TCGGATCTGTCACAGTCATTGACTATGGTGCTGTTGTGAGTTAACTGCTTGAAACTTTCCATTCTGCTCTATTTCCCCTCCAGCTGCCTTTCCTTTCTTATGTCTTAATTTTACATTTAAGACTAAATATTGTATTCTGAAAATGGACCACTGGACTTTCTCACACCTACCATGCATGAGGCCCTGAGTTCAATCCCCAACACACACACACAGAGCCACTCATCATTGCAGAAAACAACCCTTTGATAATCTCTTCATTGAGTACCTATACCTATTCTTTGCCTTATCTGTGCTTGGCATTAAAATGCAGATATCATCATCAGTAGAAGCAGCAGGATGAAAAATATCAGTTGAGACAAGGAAATAAAATAAACAAAATGAAAACTAGAAAAGAGTAGGGAAGGAACCCAATTTATCTGTGATTTCCCTTTTGGACAAAGTTGATAGTAGGGAAAGAATATTCCCTGCTGGCTATGCAGGCTGTCAGCCACCCAGCATTTGAGAAGCTCTGAGCTTACTGTCCAGGATGAGGGTGGTGATTTGGTGAGCTGAGTGGGAAGCGGGACTGACCAAGAGGTATTGTATACAAGCAAATGAGACATAGCTGTGCCTTCAAGGAGCTTACAGTTTGGGGAGAGGGGTGTAGGATAGGAAATGAAAACAAGGCTTTGAAGTGTACAGTGTAATAATTATAGTGTGAAGTACAATGTGTTAAGGCAACTATGTATCTTCAAGTTTTTGTGTTCTAAAAGGTAGAAGCTACAGGTAGTCAGACTTTGGAGCAGTATGAGAAGGCATTTTTGGACAGAGTGGTCTCACAGTGGAGTAGGGGATCTTAGGAAAGGAAGGCCTTTACTGTCAGTAAAGATATAAGTTTGGGATAAATGATTTCATTGTGGTTATTGTAATGGAAGCACTAACTCCTCCTAATACAAGATTGGGCTAAAGGGATTTTAAGGTGCCTTCTAACCTCAGCAGTCTATGATCCTAGAAGTCCCTTCCCTTTTCTGAGCATCACCCATAAAATGAAGAAGAGTCAACAAAATAAAACCCCTATAGTGCTGCCATTCTATGTGAATTAAAAATAATTCTGCTTGGAAACATTTAAGGAAGATCCTATAATTGCCCCTGAAGTAAATAGCATATGAGGTGACAGAACAGTGATTACCCATGCTGCAGTCTCTCACTTGAAGCTGAGTATAGATTCCATCCATAAGACTGATCACTTAGCTTTCCAGCTTAGACCCTGACTTTCTTCTGCAGAGTGACATACCTCCTGATTGCTAATTAAATGACAAGTTGGTTACCTCAGTTCCAAAATCAGAAATGATCAAAGATGAATTCAGAAGTGCATTTTCTTTGGAGTTGGAAAAGATTTAGGGAACAGCATATTAACAAAGATACATTATTAAAGCTCCAATATTTACAAATCCCAAAGAAGCTTTTAGGGATTTAGGGATTTAATCTTTGACTTTTAAAACCAGCTTTTCATTGTCAGTCAAAATACCAAAGAGCATTTAAAAACTGCAGGGAGTAAGTAGTGAGGCAGGCACTATTATACTGCTAGTGTAAGTTCAAATTGATAGTTTTTCTAGAAGGCAGTGCAGCAAAGTATTTGAAGACTTAGCCTGTCACTTCTCATCACTGCACTACTGCTGTCCTGGTCTGAGCCCCACCATCTAGTGCCAGGAGTTTGCAATAGCTCCCTGCTGGTCTCCATGCTTCTCTATCCTTGCCCCCTTGTACTCTCTTTTCAGCACAACCATCAGAGTGACCCTTTTCACATAAGTCAGATCATGTTATTCTATTCAAAACCCTGTGACAGATTCTCATTTCACTTAGAATGAAAGTTGTAGTCCTCATAGTAGCCTGTAAGGCCATACATGAACTGAATAGCTCTTTATCTTTCTTACTCCCTCTGCTACTACTACTGTATCCCTTATTTGTTCCACTCCAGCCTCTGCTGTTCCTCTGCTGTGTCCCTTATGCTCCCCAACTTCGGCCCTTTGCATTGATTGTTTTCTTTGTCTGAAATGCTTCGGCTTTTTGTTTGATTAATCATATAATTTCCCTCAAATTTGTGGAAATCTTACCTTCTCAGTTTCTTACCCTGATTATCCTATTTAATATTGCAGTGCTCTCAACCTAGACAGTGGCAATTCTGGTGTTTTTCATCCTGCCTTTTTTTTTTCTCCCATAGCAATTGCTAATGAAGTGACACATTGATTATCTCAATTCGAAAATCAGAAAATGATTGAAGATGAATTCAGAAATGAATTCTCTCTGGAGTTGAAAAGGGTTTAAGGACCAGCATATTAACAAAGATACATTATTAAAACACCAGTACTTAGAAATCCCCCAAATTTTGTTTATATTTCCTATTTATCCATTGCCTTCTTTCCCCTGCTTAGACTATAAGTTCCACAAGGGCAGAGGTCTTAGTTTTGTTCCCTAAACCAGTGTCTGGTACAGAATTGATAATCAAATATTTGTTCAATGGATGAATTATAAAAATAGCCTTAGGAATCTCACTTCTAGTACTAATATTTTTCTAAGCTTAAGATTAGCTTTAATTTATTATTATTATTTTAATTGTACAAATTTAGGGATACAATGTGATAATTTAAACACATATCAGTATGCAAAAATCATATCAGATTAGTTAACATTTACATTTCATTAAGCATTTAACATTCTTTTTTAATTAACACATAATAATTGTATATATTTATGAGGTATATGTGATATTTTGTACTGAACAAATATGATAACTAATATTTCCATCTTATCATTACTTGGATTTGGAGACTTATGAAGAGATTATTTGTTTTGTGGTATGAGATAGAAGTCAGAGCTTCTCTAATTCTAGGTAAGGGCTCTTAGCACTGAGCCTTACCTATGAAGAGATTTGGGTTTCTTGTGTGGGAGGGTACTAGGGATTTAACCTAAGAGCTGATTTAACCTAACCACTGAGTTGCATCCCCAGCCCTTTTTATTTTTTATTTATAAAACAGGTTTCACTGAGTTACTTAGGGCCTCACTGAGCTGCTGAGATGGGCTTTGAACTCTCCATCCTCTTGCCTTAGTTCCCGAGCCTCTGGGATTATAGGTGTGCACCACTGTGCCTGGCTTCTATGAAGAGATTTCATAAGATGATTCTTGGAAACTCTCTGTAGTGGCTACAATATTCATTTAATATGTCTGTTGATAGATAAGGACATTTAATTTGCTTTTAGACCTAATTTTTAAAGAAATAGAGTTGCAGCCAAAGTTTTATTTAGTTTACTTGATGTTGTTAGCTATAATAAAAATGAAAATTTCAAACAACCTAAACATCTAAAAGCAGGGTAATGGTTAAGTGATTTGATATATCTGTGTAATGGAATAGTATAAAGATATTAAAAATAAAGTTTTTTAATAATATGTGATTATGTGGGAAAATGTTTATGTTTAAATGAAACATGAAACTATATATACCTCTACCTCATACCATACACAAAAATTAACTCAAAAGCCCCCAAACTATAAAACTCTTAGAAGAAAACCAACATCTTTATGGCCTTGGTTTTAGCAATAGATTCTTGGATATATTACAAAAGCACAAGTAGCAAAAAGAGAAGTAGATAATTGGACTTTAAAAATTGCATTGAAAGGATTATCAAGTGAAAACCCACAGAGTTGGAGAAAATATTTGCAAATTATTTATTTGGTAATGGCTCAATATTCAGAATATATAAAGAACTCCTACATTGTGTGACAGCAAAAAGATGACCCAGTTACAAAATGGGCAAATGATTTGGGTAGACATTTCTCCAGAGAAGATATACAAGCCAGGCCCAGTGGCATACACCTGTAATCCCAGCAGCTCAGGAAGCTGAGGCAAGGAGGATCAGAAGCTCAGTTCAGCCTCAGCAATTTAGTGAGACCCTGTGTCAAAATAAAAAGGGCTGGGAATGTGGCTCAGTGGTTGAGGACCCCTGGATTCAATCCCTGGTTAAAAAAAAGGAAGATGTATACATGGCCAACAAGCACATAAAAAGGTGTTCAACATCATTAATTATTAGGGAAATATAAATCAAAATTATGAGGTACCACTTCACACTAACTGTAAAAGCTATAATTTTTTTAAAAAAAGCATTGGTGAGGATGGGGAGAAATTGTAGAGATAGGAAGTGAATTAGAGATTACCAGGGTAGGGGTTGTGGGGAGTGGGAAATTGTTATTAATAGACACAGATTTTATGTGGGATGATAAAAGGTTATATAAACAGATACTGATGATAGTTGCACAACATTGTGAATGTAATTAATGTCACTGAATTGTATATGTAAATGGTTAAAATTCCAAATTTTATATTTACTTTGCCACAATGGAAGTTAAAAAAAAAAAACAGAACTGTATATGATATGCTATGATGAGCTGGCATTGGTGTACGTGATCTTGAGTGCTGACTGTGAGCATTTCTTCCCAACTACTCATTTAAGTGATATTGGTAGCTTGAAATTGGCCATAGTGAGATTATTTACATCATGGCAATTGGCGTATGCTAGAAAAGCACCCCACTCCCAACCTCTTCAAGCCAATTGTTAAATACTTGCCAGTACACCACTGAATATATGTGTATAAAATCCATAGAAAGCTACCTAGAAAAAAAATAGATGCCCAACTGTGGTTACCTCTCAGAGCAGTTTTGTGGCAGAATGTGAAAATAAGCATATACGTTTTATCATAAGCTCTTTTAATTTTTTTTCCACTTTTTTTACAGTGAAAATGCAGGCATATTTTATGTATTGCTTTTTAAAAGTGGGCCCAAAAATCTGCATTTATTGGAGTTATGGTATTAATGACTTTTCTCTTGAGAGTCTGAAAGCTCTGTGAAATGGCCTGTGAAGAAAATGAAAGCCAAGTCTGTAACTTGAATTTGTTTCCTTAGAAATCTCCTTTGTTGTTAGTGTTGTTGTTTTCCTTGCCTAAGTAAGACTTTTCTTGTCTTTATGTAGGTTACCCTACAGCCTACCCGGCAGCGGCCCCTGCCTACAATCCCAGCCTGTACCCAACCAATAGCCCAAGTTATGCTCCAGGTAAACAGAGTGGGGGCATCAGTGATGAATGGGGTGGGAGGTGTGGGAAAACAAACCCACTTGCTGGCCTTTCCCTGTCTTTAATTGCTCTGGGCTCAGCCTATCCTGGTTTGAATCTGTGGGAGTCCATACCTTCTGGGAACTGAGGCAGATCAGCCTCAGGGTGGGGGTTGGAAGTAAAATCTTCCTCATTCTCCTTGGGTCTTAAGCTTGGCTTATTTCTCCTATAGTGGAATGTATGAAACATGCATCCTTCTTACAGAACTCCTTCTACTCTCCCAAGCAAGATCCAAATTCATTCTTTGCTCAGTTTCCCCTGAGGCTGCTGCTGGGAAACACATGAACACGTGTACACACACACATACAGCCAAATACCGGGGTATAGATATGGAAGGGAGTAAGAGACTTGCCATCAGAGGGTAAAGAAGTGGTTTTCGAGCTTAGAAAAGCTACTTGTTTTTCAAAAATAATAAATGTCCAATACTTCTTGGATAGAGGTTGAAGTGGATATGAAAATATTAAAAGGGTTTATTCTAATTTGGGCAGTTGCATTGCAGAGATCTTACACTGATCGTAACCCCTTGCTGAGCCAATACTTAAACACTCAAGAGCAGGAAAATTGGGCATGGTGTCCTAACTACTCAGGCGGCTGAGGTAGGAGGATTGCAAGTTTGAGGCCAGTCTAGACAACTTATCAAGAACCTTTCTCAAAATAAAAAATAAAAGGACTGGGGGTGTGGCTCAGTGGTAGAGCACTTGCCTAGCAAGCATGAAGCCCTTTAGATTGCTAGAACTGGGGTAGGAAAAAGAGCAAGAGAATGTATAGGTTCTGTGGTTAGAAAATCCTGGGTTAAAATCCAGATTACCCAACTGATTCATTAAAGCCTTGGGCAGTTACCTCACCTCTCTTGAGATTCAAATGTAACTACTTACCTCAGGGTTTAAGTTGTTTTATGGAAACTCTTCTTCATTTATTCAGCAAGTATTTATTCGTTGACTGTCCTCCATACTGGGATAGAAAAATTAAAACATGATATCTTTCCCTGAAGTAGCTTACAGTCCATTTTGGAGCCTAACATGTAGACAAATTCATTGCAATACAATACAGTAAATATTATAAAAGGAATACATATTAAAAGAGAAGAGGGAACCACAGTCTGCCTGGAGGTAAGAGTATAGAAGAATAGAGACTTGAGGGAGAAATAGAAAGTCTCCCCCACTCCCAACTGCTGGGGATTGGACGCAGAGCCTCATGCATTCTAGGTAAGTACTATACCACTGAGCCACATCCCCAGCCCTAGGAGGAGTTCTTTTAATCACACAAAGGAGGACTGGGCATTCCAGGCAGAGCAAGCTTGGTAAAGACATGGAAATGTGGGAACATGACACTGTTAGAGACTTAGAAGTGAATAGGAATAGTTGAAGCATGGGCCAGGGTGGGAGGTGGTGATGAATCTTAACTAAAGATGTGAAAAGGTGATTTGGAAAGGCCTTGAATATCCTAACATCCCATTTTCTTGTTTAGTGATTATTATTATGGAATTTAAAAGCTTGAAAAGATTCCAGAGGTTTCTCCAGTTAAGCCTCTTGACTACAGAAACCCAGAAACAGTGTTTAGTTCCACATTATCCAATGAATCAGCAACAACTTATGAACTAGAACCCTTGGCAGATTTCCTGTCTCTCAGTCCCATGCTGTTTTGTACTAAACCAGTATTCTTTCTACTGTCATTCCCCTTTGTGTGTATGTGTATATGGTATTAGGAATCGAACCAGGACCTCATACAAGCTCTGTAGTGCTGAGCTGCATCCCCAGTCCCCTCATTCCCATTCTTCTGGGATATTTAAAGCAGAAATGAATGTGGGCTATATTTGAAGATCTCTGTTTGAGCCCTGGAATCATATCCTTACCATACCCCCCACCCCATCTCTCTCTCTCTCACACACACACATCATGAAGTTATCAGATAGGACCCTCTTTTTTTTTTTTTCTGCAAACAAGAGTTGTTTTATACATATAACTAATGATAACCCCTAAAGTGTTTACATAAATGTGACATTACACAGATATTCATTTTGGCCCTATTATGCCTGAGGCAGTCAGGAAGACTGAAGAAGCTGCTGTCACTGCCTTAAGAGCTTATAAGGGAAGTGGTGATACATGGACCAAAATCTACATCTCAGCATTGATTTTCTGTTTTCTTTTAATCAATAAAATATATTTCCCCAAAAATCTATAATAGGAGGCAGCAACAATAAAAGCTGCAGAAATTCTCTCTGAAAAAAATAATGAAATTTGGTAAGTTTTATCTTTAAAAGCTATGGTAGCTTTGGTTATTAAATCTATCACAATAGGTAAGTGATTTAAATCTTCATGAGATCTGTGAGTTGGCTTTGTAAACTAGTCTAAAGCAAAGTGAAACAAGTTGTAGCAGAAGCTGAGGTAGGAGTGAGGAATATTGATTGTCTTGATAGTCAGGAGGCCACCAATGACCTCACTGGCAGCAGTCAGGTAGGTGGTGAGACTGGAAACCAATCTATGGTGAACCAGGGAGGAGAGAAGTAGATTTAGCAGGTGGAGGCCATGCTTACGAGAAGCTTGGCTACCAGGGAAAGCCAAATAAAATGGCATTGACTATAAAGGGTACTTGGGGTTGAGAAAGTTTTGGGGGGTATAGGCATGATTGGGTATAGGCATGATGGGAGGAGCAAGTGGAGGGGACAAGTCAGATATGCGGGAGAAGCAGTGCCACACAGCTAGGCCTGCACAGAGACTGCATTGGGGTGGGAAATCGAGAATTCAGTTCTCTTCCTAGTTTTGGGGAATTGAGTGGCAGGGGGAAGTGGGGTACCTCACACAGGAGGGCAGTTCTTCCTCTCAGATCATAGGAAAAGTCACAGGAAATGTGTTTAGAATCAATTGACCAGTGGAAAGTGGAGAGTTATGATCTAATGGCCTTGATTTGCTGACACAAAGGTGATGAGGGATAGAGGAAAAATAAAAGTCAAAGTGTAAAAGCCTCACATGAAACAGTGGGAATGGAAACTACTAAATGATAGCACAGAGCAGGGTAATACTGGAGGCTGAGTGAGGTGGAGGCCAGGAATTGGTCCAGGCTCTAATTCCCAGCAGTGGGCTCTTTTCAGCACTTCTGGTGAAAGATTATAAGATTGTTTGGCAAGAAAGAGGAAAGACAAGGAATAAATAGCTATTATTTAGTGAAGGGTTCCTTTGTGTCAGAGACTATTTTAAGCTCTTTACAGATGTTAACTTGTTTTATAACAAATCAGAACTTTGAGGTGAGTACTATTGTTACTCCCATTTTCTAAATGGAAAAACTAAAACTCAGAGAAGTTGAGTAACTAGCTCAAAGTTCCACAGCCCAGTATCATGTCACATGGCTATGTGAACTCTAAACCACTACTTTATTGTTGAGGCAGTTGGCAGAGAGAAATTGAAGTGTTAAACTGGAATAACCAGAGTAGAGAGAAAAGGTGGTGCAGAAAGGAGGAAATTGAGACTGTCAAAGAAAAAATGAACTAAAACAAAAATGGAGAGATTGGAAAACTGCTGGTTAAAAAAAAAAAAAAGTAAAATAATAAAAGTCATCACCTAACATGATTTTCCCATTTTATGGCTTTTTGTTTGTTTGGTTTTTGGTACTAGGAATTGAACCCAGGAGTGCTTAACCACTGAACCACATCCCAGCCCCTTTTATATTTTATTTAGAGACAGGGTCTTGCTAAGTTACTGAGGCTGGCTTTGAACTCATGATCCTCCTGTGCACCACCATGCCCAGTCCAATTTTGTGTTTTAAAAGTCAACATATTTTCAGGAGCTAATGGAGGTAACCTAGACCATTTGCTCAGAAACCCACAAAGTACACAAGAAAGGGTAATGCTACTGCATTGTATTAGAAAGCTGCATCCTGAAAGTTGGAAAACCTGGACTGTAGCACTAACTCTTTTCTGATTTTGGTGTGACCTTGGGGAGACACCTTTGCCTTCTGAATTTTACACACACACACACACACACTCTCACAAACTGGGTCTGCTTCATATTGTGGGATGCTGGCCTCTGTATTCATAGGTTTCCTGATTGCAGTGGGGAAGTTCTTGCCAAGGAGGAGCTGGTTCAGGGTCAGAGAGGACAGTGTAGGTTACTCTCAGCTTCCTGCCAAAGCCAGCCACTTGTGATGCAGAGAGGTGCCTGCATCACAGGAGCAGATGTCTGCAAAGGAACCAGGCTCTCAGGTTTAAATATCTTTCGGTTGCTTCAAGGAGACCAAGAAGTTGCTTTAGACAGATCTATTTTTAGCACCTAAGATATCATCTGTCTAGAATGCAAGGAAGTTCTTTGATTGGTTCTGAAAGCAAGGTTGGTACTTGGAGCTTTTTTCCAAGTTCTTTATGATTTCAAGAATCTTAATTTAAGAACTACTTGGCCCCACAGGAGGCAGAAGCTATCCAAGACTAGGTTTTCAGAATCCCCAGAGCAAAGAGTTTATCATATTAATGGTAATCTGACTTGAAAATGAAAAGGGAGGGTAAACAGGGTAACTAGTATAATAAAAATATAATACCGCCTCACAAGAATCTGTATACAAAAGCATTTTTTTATCTATTATCTCACCTGGTTTCATAATGCCTATAAAGTACAAATATATTATTCCCATTTTGCATATGATAAGCCTAAAGAATGGTAGGGGGAAGGAATTGTTTCCTGAACACCTGCCTCCTTCCAGGCACTATGCAAGGCATGCTATAAATGTTCCTTTTTATATTAGTTCTGTGTGTTGGAGCTGCTTGCCTCAAATTTTGTTCAGAGGTTAAATAAGTTGTGCAAACTTATACAGTTAAAAAAGCAGCAGAGCTGGGATTCAGACTTGTATAGCAAGTCCTGGAGGCTTAGGCCTAGCTCTCTGGGATTTTACAAACAATTCTAAATGCTGATGGTATTGTCCCTGAACTTTCACTTCCTCTAATATCTATCACATCTTCACCCTCTCTGGTTCTTGGGAGGATTGAAACATGTTTTTATCATGAATGAACAAAGAGCAAGAGCTTGGTCTTGTTCACATCTAGGCAGCTTCTGGGTCAGCTATATGGAAGATGCCATGGCATCCAGGGAGATTTTTCTCTGCAATGATTGAACTTTCCTGGATGGCAAGTCTGTCACCCTCTCCAGGGTAGAGGTACTTCATACCCCATATAGTCACCATTTTTTGTGCGGCCTGGGGGAAACTGCTATCTTAAGCCAAAGAATGTATATGTAACTGCAATATGTAAAACTTTGCACAAATTCTTAGTGGTAATTTCAACTAACATTTCTATCCAACAGAGTTTCAGTTCCTGCATTCAGCTTATGGTAGGAGAGCTATTTTTCCTCATCTGTATTACGGCCTATGAATGTGTTATCTTGTAACAATGGTAGAACCCCTCTCCTTTCTTCCCTAAATCCCATCCCCTAGGCTTGGGCTCCCCCCAGGTGGCTCAGCAGCAGTTCCTAAAGCATGCAGGAACATGTCTGATGGTGCAAAATCATGGGTTGGAGACACACATGAACCATTTCCCTAGGGCAGCAATGAAGGATCATGGCACTAAAAGGCGTCTCTCATCCTAACCTGGCTGCTGAATTCAAACAAATGAACCAAAATTCCAGGGTCTATATATGGCTTTTCTGTTGGCTTTGTGGCAGCCTCTTTGAAGGAGTCCCTGGATTATGCTAAAACACCAGTCTGCCCCAGGATCGGATTTCCTTATCTCCATCAGCAGTCTGACATGTTTGAAGACTTGGTGACTTTAAATACAATCTGTTCCCTTAGCTCAGATCTTGAGCTCTGGGCTCATTATTGGGGCATTTTCCGGGATGGTGAAAGGTGGAAGCCAAGTGTGCCAATGAGTTGAGGGATCAAAAGCTGAGTTCTGGGGCAGTGTGGACTCCAGGCCCAAGGCACCACGGGAACTTCTGGGCACCTGTGAGGGTCCTAGCAGTGTAACTTGACTAGGTCCTTTTTGTCATAGACAGGAAGGGACCATGGGAAGGACTTGCCACTTTAACCACCCTCACCTGGGCTGCTGAGGACAGTGTTTTTGTAAAATCTCTGCACACTTTCTCAACTTTTAAACCTTGATCATCTAGTTGTCAGAAATTAAATTTTTGTATTGCACATCTTTCAGAAGATGAGCTGTGAAATTTCTTGCCACTATTGTGGGCTGTGTGATCTTGGGCAACTTGCTAATGTTTCTAGGCTATAGATAAAGTTTTATTCCACATGGATATTTTCATATCTTTAATGCTAACATCCCATCCTTTTACAATTTTATTATTTCAATTTTGCAAGCCACAGACCTATTTCTTTCTCTCTCTCTCTCTCTCTCTCTCTCTCTCTCTCTCTCTCTTGGTTGCCCCAGAATATATGAACTTGGACAGAGGTTTCCATAAAAAGTTAGAGAAGGTCTCAGACTTCTTCACCCTTCCACTTAAAGCATCTGAAATGAGGATGCATGAGTAGTATGGATAGAACTCTTAACAAAATATTCTGTGGCAGGCCCTAAGTGGCCCTTTGAAGATACAAAGACCAGTAAGACAAGCTCTCCAATTTTCAAGGAGTGTGCAAATTACTGGGGAGACAGATAAGCCAGCCAAGTACAGGAACTTCTAAGAATCACAGGAATGGTGAGAGTGGTCAACTACATGGAGTGCATGCAGAAGCTGTGGTCACTGGGTGGAGAGAAGAAAAGACTTTGTAGTACATGTGCATCTTCAGCTCATGATTGATGAATTAGTCTAAGTTTACCAGGTGGAATGTGAGATGAGACATGCCAGAAGAGCTAGCAGTATGGACAAAACCACAGATATGTGTAGCTCCTCTGCATATTCTGGGAATGATAATCAGTGGGTGTACTGTAGTATAGACTGGAGACTGAGAGACTAGCGAGATAATCGGAACTAGATCATGGGGCCTTGAATGCAATAAAGACTTCAGACCAGCCTATATGCAGTAGAGAACCTTAGATAGGTCATTGTAGCTGTAGCTTAATGATTGGAGGGGACAGGTTTAAAAACAAACAGAACAGTGAGGAAGCAGTTGGAGCAATTCAGGTGAGAGATGCTGAGAGCTTGAATTAAAGCCCTTTACCAGTATGGAGATGGAAGAATAGATAGCTACCAGAACTTAAACTGGATGACACTTTATTTTTTACCCTCATGTCAATACTATGAAGCAATCAGTGAATGGTAGTTATTGCCATTTTGAGATAACCAAAAAATTAAGTGACTTGCCCAAGATCCCATAGCTAATAAGTGGCAGAGCCCAGGATAGAAGAATGCAAATTTCCTGACTCAGTACATTGTTCAGGATGATGGTCCCTTGCTGCCTCTCCTCTTTGTAAGTGTGCTTAACAGATTGTTCAAGTGTCAGAGGGTGTGAAGGTCCCATATCCAGGGAAGTGAACAACCCAGCACCTGGATGTGGGCAGCCTGCTGTGACTGGCTGCTCTTTTGTTCGGTCTTTTTGACTTGAAGGCTGGCACATATAATATAGTACACTGATCTTAAGTATACAGCTTAACAACATTTTTCACATGTAATACACACACTGTAATACACACACACACACACACACACACACACATATATACATATAAATATAGCAATCACACAGTTCAAAATATAAAACATTTCTAGGAAGTGGTTTCTTTCTGGCACCCAAGAATATGCCCTCCTATTAGAGCAGCCTCTTCCACCACTATACTTCTAAAAAGCTTTAGTTGGGTTTGTTTTCATTCCACAACTAAGCTCTGATCAACACCACCAACAGAATGGGTGCCGTTAGAATTGTACTTAGAAGAACAGGATTATCTAGCTAATGAGGAGGTCAAGTTGATATTTGGTTTTAAATTTTCACATTTATTCAATTATTTAATATTCAAATATATAGAGGAGGCATAGAAATAATGTTTGTTTTCTTTAATGAAACCAGAAGAAAATGCCCCTTTATTCAGGAAAATGTATAGTTTAGCTAAGGGTTCACTTAGGGAAGACAATCAAAGGCATAATCTCATTTGCTTTTTTCCTGATTAATCTGCAACATTGTTTTACTGGGTATCATGCTGTCTTGTTCACTCCCTGGTTGGCGTGTGGCTATGTTGCATCCCCAGCTAGATTGTAAGTACCTTGTGTGCAGTGACCGTGACCCACGTTGTGTTCCTGTCCACGGTGGCGCTCCCCTCAGTGCTGAGCGCAGTTAGACCTCAGTACTCTTTGGCTAAATTTGATTTACCTTGTCACACAGCCCTTCAGGCTAATGTCAGACTTTTGGCTAATGATGCAAATTATGTTGAAGTATGTGCCACTTGGAGGAAAAAATTGGAATGAATCAGGACCTCTAATTTCTCCAAATTTATACAACCAAATTCAATGCTCCTGCTCACTGGTGGAGTCCCATGAGGTTCTTATGGGCATGGGCTTATTCTTTCTGACTCCTCAGAACTTACATGTTTAACCTTTCAGGTAGTTGTGTTGGGTGGCCTCAGCTTTCCAGCCACATGGAGTGTCAAGTTCTAAATTTGGAGACATCTTCATAAGCTTTTCAATACTAATTGGATCCTTTGTTAATCCCCTTCATACCAGCCCTCTGCCCCCATAAAGAACCCAAGATGATTGCTTTAAATGGACTTCTCTCCTCCTGTAGTATATGCAGAGCCATGTCTGGATATCCAGAAGAGGCCCTGAACTATACTTGGAGTTCCGCTAGGCCTCCATTTCTCTTTGCCAGAATTCTCCTTTTAGTGTCACTTTCCTGCCCATGATTTCCTTCTCATTCTTCAGCATCTGCTGTATATATTGCGGGCCATTAATGCAAGCAGAGTCAGCATATAATAGCTGCACTCCTAGCCTTAGTTTAGTAAGAACAGTAGAGTCCCTGACCTTTTCTAACCTTAGCAGTTCTGTGATTGAAGGAACAGAGACATTTGTTATTATCCAGACAGTCAGAGGAAGATATGAAATCTCTCTGAAGGTAGAATATCCTGGTGAAATTAGAGCATATATAGGCATACTTTCTTCTCAGATTAAAGTGACTTACCTTAGCCCCTTGTGAAAATGTTTCAATTATATTTGACCTATTGTCAGTACAACCCCATCTCCTGCTAATATACTTTTAAAAATTCCATATCAAGGACTCCCAAGACCTTATTTGAATGAAATAGAAATTTGGGTAAAGGATGTTTCTTCTCTAGTGTTTGAAAGTATAGTAAAAAGTTGGGCATTTCTACCCTTTGGAGCCCTATTTCCTCTCTCCTTCCCCTCTGGGTACCATGAAGGTAAGTTTTTTGAGTCAGTCCCACTTCTAGAACATAAAGGATCATCTTTCAAGCTTCTCAAGCTGAGCTTTGAGTTAGCCAAGGAAGTCTTTACAGACCTCAAACTGGGCCTCATCTCTATTTCACACCTACCCCAAGTTGGTATTTACTTTTGGGATGGTCTAAAGGATCATTTCTAATTTATGAGCTGTCTCAGGTGGGACACCCAGTAGCACCTCAGCAGGATATAATTCAGGGATATGTAGAGGTTTGTTCATCTGACCTTGGATGGGTGTCCAGGATGAGTTAGCAAGGAGTGCCCCACTGGATAACTAGGAACACACCCACAGGGCCCTGTGCCTTTTAAGCTTGCATGGTTACATCTCAGTCCACTTAGAGGACATTGTATTCCAGCAAGAATAAAGTTTTCCCACAACTTATTAAATACACCTCCTGAGGAAATTTCAGACAAAAAGAAGGGGGGCTGAGTTGATATAGCCCAGTACACAAAGGCTCCCAACTTGATCCACATTATAAAGTAGCTGAGGAATATACCAGAGCCTTATGCCAGAAGGTCAGGTAGAAGGAAGCAGTATTCATGGACATGTTCATGGTTTTAGTAGTACCTAGAAAATCCTGATGCTCTTAGCGTAAGTGCAGATTTCCTCAGTTTTCAACCATCTGGAAGCTCACTTCAGCACTGCTCCCACCCCACTAACCCATCTCAGAAAGGCTGAATCATTCTGTGTGTCTGAACAGGCCCTTTGGGTTATATGTTTCTGTCCAGCACAAAATCCTTGCTTTATGTCTGTGATTGGTGGTGCCCACTTCTTATTTCTGCCTAATGCCATTCTTGTGTCTTCCCTTAAGCCACTCTGCTGATGAAACAGGCCTGGCCACAGAACTCGTCTTCCTGTGGCACTGAAGGCACCTTCCACCTCCCAGTGGACACCGGGACCGAGAACCGAACTTACCAAGCATCCTCTGCGGCTTTCAGTAAATACAGCCTGTCTCCTCCTTTCCTTGTTCCCCTTGGTTGGGACTGATTTGTTTCTTAGAAAGAAAGGAAAGGGGATTTTTAAAAAATGATCTTTATTATATAAATACTACTTTAAAAGGTTCTCCTATCCATGCAAAAAGTTGGCCTTCCTCATTCAGTAAAGATCTCATTGATCATGCACCCTGTTTTAGGGAGACACACAACAGTGAGGGAGGGAAAAAGAGTACTCTCCTTCTGGCTGAGAAATTGGATTGGGAAAAGACTGTTACTGCATTTCAAGGGAAAGAACAGAAGGCACATTTTGAAGACCTGTGTGTGTTTGGACAGAGAGGGATTTCCCCTTAGGCAGGATTTCTTAACTACAGCACTATTGACTTCTGGGCCAGATAATTCTTTGTTGTTGGGGACTGTCCTGAGCATTGCAGGATGTTTAGCAGCATTCCTGGTCTCTACACCTAGATGCCAGGAGCAAAGCACTATATGACAACCAAAAATGTCTCCAAACTTAGTAAATGCCACCCCACCCCACCCCCTTTGAGGAGCACTGCCCTTGTGGAAGCTATACTATGGGAATAAAGTACATATATTGACAAAAGCCAGCCGGCCTTGTCAGATTGATCATGATAATCTAGAGGCTCAGTAGGATAACTAGTGCTATCATCTTTATATTTCTGATTTTTTAAATATATTTTTTGTTTTAATTAGACACAATACCTTTATTTTATTTTTTTTTTATTGGTGCTGAGGATCGAACCCAATGCCCTGCACATGGTAGGTGAGCGCTCTACCACTGAGCCAAATCCCCAGTCCCTATATTTCTGATTTTTCACACAGTGGTTCCACTGAGGAAATGAGACCCAGTGATTAGAAATTACTGAGTGGCATTTTGATTCCATATAAGGAAGAACTTGGTGCCTCATGGGAGCTTTTAGATGAATGGCTGACTTGGATATGGTGAGGACTCAGCCTTGGAGTTGTGCCAGCAGGGGCTATAAGCCTTTAGTCTGATATTACAGTAAATTGCTAGTCTACCAAGTAAGTAGATTAGAAGAATTCATTGTATTTTCTCTTCTTTAAAATCTCCAATGTTGGGCTGGGGATGTGGCTCAAGTGGTAGCACGCTCGCCTGGTGTGCGTGCGGCCCGGGTTCGATCCTCAGCACCACATACCAACAAAGATGTTGTGTCCGCCGAGAACTAAAAAAAAAAAAAAAAAAATTTAAAAAAATTCTCTCTCTCTCCTCTCTCTCACTCTCTCTTTAAAAAACAAAACAAAAAAAACTCCAATGTCACTTCTTCTTATCATTTGCCCCTAGATGTCAATATCAGCTTACAGAGTATAGCTTGTCTTTTGAATAATGTACTTTCATAATCATCCTCTTATTTATTTATTTTTATTTTTTGGCAATACTAGGCATTGAACCCAGGGGTACCTACCACTGAGCTACATCTCTAGCCCTTTTTATTTTTTTAAAAATAAGACCTCACTGAGTTGCTTAGGGCCTTGCTAAATTGCTGAGGGTGGCCTTAAACTTGCTGTCCTCCTGCATCAACCTTCTGAGTCACTGGGATTACAGGTGGGCCACTTTGCCCAGCACCCTCTCATTTAGTCAACACTATGATCTTAAAAGTCATTTAGGGGGCTGGGGATGTGGCTCAAGCGGTAGTGCACTCGCCTGGTATGCACGGGGCGCTGGGTTCAATCCTCAGCACCACAAAAAAGTAAAATCAAAATGTTGTGTCCACCGAAAACTAAAAAATAAATATTAAAAAAAATTCTCTCTCTCTCTTAAAAAAAAAATTATTTAGGTGGATTTTTCTTTCTAGTTAGAAAATTGAGGCTCAAAAAGGTAATATGCCCAGTGCTGCCCAACTAATAAGCAGCACATGCTTTGGACTTTGGTCTTTTAAATGAGGCCCCTGAATTGGTTCATCCTAAACATTCTCAATAACCAGTAGACTCCTGATTCTCTCACGTTGCAGCTCTGTATCAATATCCTCCCCACCACAGGGACCTCCTCTCCAGCAGTTCTCACCAGTAGTTGCCATCAAGCCTTTGCTCATGTCTTCAGGATCAGCAATCTAGTTTCTTTCAGAGGCAGCCCTTTGCACAGTTAGGCAGTCCAAGTATCAGAAGGCTTTGCCTTATACTATCTGAAGGCTTCCTGAAACTCCATTAAAATGTCCAGTAACCACATCCCCTCTCAGACAGTCTGTCACAGTCCCTGGGAAGGACCAAAATGTATCCCTCTCTTGTAAATAAGGAATGTTTAAACCTGTGTAACTCTTTAATGAAGTTGGGATTGACTGACCCATTAATTGCCACACTTTGTTGCTTCTAGTGCCATAGAAAATTCAGGGTGCTTTGACAAATTCATTTTGGTTTCACCAGCACTTGCTAAGCCTGTTTGAAAATAGGTCTCCCTCCTACTTATTCAGTGCTCAGTTTAGCTACCAACAAGGAGAGTCAGAGGTCAAGGCAAGACTCAGACATAGAGCTTTGTTTCGTCCAGACGTATAAACTCACTGATCAATAAACCTATTAGTCTAAAAGGCACCTGTGATGTGAGGACTAATACCTTTGAAAGTAGTAGGGCTTCTACAACTGAAAGATTTATAACAGTGAAGAAGGTCTGAAGAGAGGGCTGGAAAAGTTTTACTTGCTAACATACACACTCTCTTTATTATCCTGTTTGATGGAGCCTAAAATTATGGTTAGGAACCTGAGACAAACAATAGATATCATAAAGCTTCTTTTATAAGGCAAAGCTGGAACTTCTAATGATCAAATTCCTCTTATGATTTTGCCCTTAGTGAAATGAGGATACAAAGACCAATATACTAAATGCCCAAAATTGAACTGGAGAAACCCTTAACTCAGAAAGAGCTCTGTCCAAGACAAGAACTCATGCCCTGAACTCTGGACACAGCTTTCATTAATTTATTATGCAATTTGGGGGAAATTGAAATTGCTGTCCTTTCAGGCTCTAGATTCTTCCTCTGAAATGGAGAAGGTTGATTGCAAGCCTCTAATGTCCTTAAAGCACAGCATATCGGAGTCCTAATATTATGACCTTCAGATTCAGAATTTCTTTCAGGATTGCCAGGCCATCAGTGAGCCTAAGTTCACTTGGGTAAAAACCATTTTTTTTGTTTTGTTTTGCAAGAAGCCCAGTAACTTTTTTTTTTTTTTTCATGGTACCAAGGATTGAACTCAGAGGCACTGGACCACTGAATCACATCCCCAGCCCTATTTTGTGTTTTATTTAGAGACAGCGTTTCACTGAGTTGCTTAGCGCCTCACCTTTCCTGAGGCTGGCTTTGAACTCCCAATTCTCTTGCCTCAGCCTCCTGAGCCCCTGGGATTACAGGTGTGTGCCACTGGGCCCAGCCCCAACAACTTCTTTTACTTAGATTCACAAACTAAGAAACCCTGACTTTTGTGATACTTAAAGTAACCCAGACTACAACAACAGGAATTTTCATTAAGGACCACCAGTCTGTTGTAGAAAGTCCTCTGTAGTAATGTTCTCATAAAAGTCCTACTGAGATACTCAGAAACTCAGAATATCATCATCTTCAGAAAGACCAAATGAGTACATTCCCTGAGAGAAGTGAGCAGAACTCTCTGAAGGAGCCTAGGCTGAGGACCCTGGGTAGCTTCTGTAGCCTCATATCTTCCTGACACAAACGGTAACCTTGATTACCACTGTGGTTAGAGAAAGTGTCCCCATGAGCAGTCATTCTCTTTTAGTATCTGTTTATTCTCTCACCTGTGAAATGTTTATGTCGGTCTGGGAGATCTCTAAGACCTCTTCTAGCTCTGTGGCTCTGCTTCTCCCATCCCAAACTGTCTAGACAGACAAGCAGGGCCTTCTAGATCAGCATCTCTTTGGTTGCCAAGGATGTTTTGGTTACTTGTTTGTATTCTGAGTATGTGTCTCATTTCATAACATGAAGAAAGGGAAACATTCTCAGAAAAGGTTGTTCTTAGATGTGGAAAGCAGATTCTACTGCAGTCTCTGAGAGCCTTTTCCTCAGAGGGAGAGTCCCTGCACTTTGTAATATGGTTGTCCTTGTGGTATAGAGGGGTTGCAGAACCTTTCCTGGTGAATATAAAAATTCCAGAGCACATTCTCTATGAGCATGAAGTAAAGTAACCAGCAGTGTTATCCTGTTAACTCTATAAAGAATCATAAAATCATAGTATTTCATCCATAAAATTTTAGAATATTAGAGTCCTGGAGTCTTTGCTCCAAATTGGAACAAACCATACCAGTCATAATTTAACTTCTTATCTTTTGTATTCATTCAGACCAGACTTGGCTTTTATGTCTCCAGAATAGGAAGTTTACTATCTTTATGCAGTGAGAGAGAAAAAAATAATAACAGCTACCCTGTTTAAAATGCTTATAATACGTCCAGCACTGTACTAAGTGCTTTGCACTTATCAATGTATTTATCACAGAAACTTTATGAGGTAGGTGCTGTTACTATCCCCATTTTACAGGTGAGAAGATGATATATTCCACAGCTATTAAATTGCAGGACTGGGGTCTGGCCCCAGACTGTCAGTCTGTCTTCAGATTGTAACCACTGCTCTGTGCTGTAGTACCTTCAGAGACAGCCATCTTCCGATTGAGGATGCCCTCTTCTGCATAGAAACGAGATGTTTATCCTGGCAGGACTCTCCACGCATTGTTTTGTATTGTTTCCTTTTCTTTCTTTCTTTCTTTTCCTTTTTTTTTTTTTTTTTTGAACGCAAGTATCAAATTAGGTAGAAAGCCAGGCACTTAACCACTGTGTAGCATCCCCGAGCCTTTTTTTGAGACAGGGTTTTGCTAAATTGTTGAAGCTGGCCTTGAACTTGCAATCCTCCTACCCTCAGCCTCCTGAATTGCTGGGATTACAGGTGTGTGCTACCATGCCTGGCTTATTTTGTTTTTAAAATAAGCCCTTCCTTTTTTTTCTGTACTGGAACTTGAACCTGGGACCTTATCCTTGCTGGGCAAGCACTCTCCCCAGGAGCTACATCCCCAGCCTTTGTTTTGTTTTATTTTCTTGTTGTTTGCAATGCTCTGGGACCTGAGTCCTGTGACCTCACACATGCTAGGCAAATGCCTTATCACTGAGCTACATCCCCAGCCCCTCTACATCTTGTTTAATTCCTTTTTTTTTAAACATTTTTTTAGTTGTAGATTAACACACAGTATTTTTATTTATTTTTATGTGGTGCTGAGGATTGAATCGGGACCTCACACATGCAAGGCAGGTGCTTTACCACTGAGCTACAGCCCCAGCCCTTGTTTTATTCCTTTAAATCAAGGGTCAGGAAACTTTCCTATAAAGGGCCAGATTTTGAGATAGTAGATACTTCAGGCTTTTCAATCCATATGATCTCTGTAACTACCATTGTAACAAGAAAGTAGTCATTGCAGGTATGTAGTTAAATTAAAGATTTATTTACCAGATAAGTTGTAATTACAGAAAACCACTGACTGGAATTATTATTATGAATAAAAGATTTCTGTGGTCCTACCAGGTGTGATGGCACACATCCTTAATCCCAGCTGCTCAGGAGGCTGAGGCAGAAGGATCACAGATTTGAAGCCAGTCTCAGCAACTTAGCAAGACCCTGTTTGAAATAAAAAATAAAAAGGGCTGGAGATGTAGCTCACTGGCAGAGTGCCTCTGGGATCAATTTCTAATACCACCCAAAAATAATAATAATAATTCTGTGATAATTTTAGGGGAATACAGTCCCTTATATATCCCCCCATCTTCAGAGATTCATAGCTCATTGAATTATTTTAAAGACTTCTCAGGGCCACAAAATTAAAACAACAAAAAACAAACAAACAAACAAAAAAACACCTATTTATCTCTATATTACATTGCTACTTCACAAATTATGGGACCTCAAAACTCATCCCCTTCTTTTCTCTTCTCCAAATACTATTAAGTTCCCTGGGGGACTGGGGATATAGCTCATTGGTAGAAAATTTGGCTAGGATGTGCAAGGCACCTGAGTTCAGTCTCTGGTACCATAAAAGAAAAGAAGATCCCCTGGAATCAGCCCATTTTGAGAATCCCCTTTGTTTCTTAGAGAAATAAACTGTCTCCAAGGTGAAAAAGTGAAGTACCCATCAGATGGCTCCTTCTAGGTTTCTGCAAACCTAGACTCATGTGGTATCTGCTTTTTTTCCTGAGACCACATCTCAGGTTTAGCTCCATAGTCTAGAAACCTTAGGGAATCTGCTCTGTAATTCCTTTCTAGTTAATTTCTACTTCTTATCAATTCTGCCTTTTCTTTAATGTATCTTTTTCACCCCATCTTCTTTGCTACTTATTTCCCAAACAAACTTGAGGACAAAACAATTTTTTCATGGAACAAACTCTGTAGATATGCAGGTGGGAAAATAAATAACAGTTCCAGGGGAGATGACAGGACATCTTTTGTGCCAGCTGAGCAATAGCTCTGATATCCTCTTGAGTCATCAGGGCAGAAAATACCAAGCTAAAGCTGTGGTGTGACTGAGGATTTGTGCCCATGTGGTAGCTTGCTTTTACTTGGAGTTAGGATAGAGGAAACCCATAATCTTAGAGCCATGGAATTTTAGTTTAGAAAGAGATTTTCATTTTTAATCTCCTATTTTACAAAATAAGAAACTAAGGCCCAAAGATTTAGGCAGTTGACATCCAAGTTAGGCAGAAAGCCAGACCAAAGCCTAGATCACTTCTCCTCTAATAAAGTTCCTTGCTACTCTGACCTCTAGTCCCTTCTTTCAGACACAGTCCCTTGGGGCTTAAAGGTTCCTTGGTGAATATCTTATAGGCAAAAGAATGAAGCCCAGAGAGGTCCAACGACTTTAGCTAGACCCACCTAGGACAGGACTACAGGGCAGAAGCCACCCTAGCATCTTTCCACAGGGGCTTCAGAGCCAAGGTCCTCTGACACTGACCCTTCAACTCAGAAGGAAAATTTTAGAATCTTATTTTTTTTTTTTTTTTAAATACTGGAGAATGAACCCAGAGGCATTCTACCACTAAGCTACATTCCCAGCCCTTTTTATTTTGCTAAGTCACCCAGGCTGGTCTTGAACCTGTGATCCTCCTGCTGCAGTGTCTTGAGTAGCTGGGGTTACAGACCATCATGCTTGGCTAGAGTTTAGAGTCTTTAGGAGAAGTTTCTAAAAAGACTTGTCCTATCTGAGCCTCAGGATCCCCTCATATAACTCAGAGGATTGGGGATCAGTAGATGACTACCTAGTTCAATAGGATGATTCCATTTGGTGATTTTATAAGGACACCTTGTTCCTGAGTGACTTGTATTTGAAGTCCTTCCTGTAAACATAAGATCTGACTTTTTTCTGGAGGTCTCAAAAGAAGCACAGTTTGTTCTCATAGCCAATTGTGAACTTCTTGGGGCCTGAATTCACAACCCCCAGCTGTTGTCTGGCCTGCTGAGGTGCAGACATGGCCCAGGTCTGGGTCCTGACTTCAGGCCCATGGGGCAAAGATGACCTCCCACAAGCCACAGGAGGGGAGGAAAAGCCAGCCCTGCAGAGCAGTGTTTTCAACATCCCAGAATCTGAGCATCTGAGAGATGTTTTATGTGGGTTTTTACCTTCAGACTTGGTGAGGAGGAGGCAGCATGGTTAAGGAGATACTTATAAGGAGAAAAAGCACTAGCAAAAGATATTCTGAGATGCTGGGATAAGTGAGGAGACAGAAAAGCAAGAAGATGGGAGTAGGGGTGTTAAGGGGCTTCCATCTGTGTGGACCTACTTTTCTCAGATAGTGCAGGAACTCAGGCCTTCATAGCTAAAAGGGTCCTATAAGAGACCATCTGGTTCTGGCCTTTTACTTTTGTAGATGAGAGTCCTTGAAACCTAGAGAAATAAAAAAATCTCTAGAAACACACATGTTGCCCTGTGCACCAGGACTGAGGGAGCTGCCTCTAGGGCTAGGGCTGTCTGGGTTGAGCCCTGTTCTCTTGTTTGTTCTCATTTGTGTTTCCAGCCTGGATTCAGCCCATCTTTGTCTGGGGAATTGTGACTGGGACCTGCTGCCTTCTAGCACCACTGTTATGCCAACTAACTGGTAGTCTCTCTTATTGCCTTGGTACAGGATATACTGCAGGGACTCCATACAAGGTCCCACCGACCCAGAGTAATACTGCTCCACCCCCCTACTCCCCATCACCCAACCCCTATCAGACGGCCATGTATCCAATCAGAAGTGCCTACCCCCAGCAGAATCTGTATGCACAGGTAGGTATACATGGAGGTCTGGGCCTATTTCTTCTGCAAGTAGAGGACCCTCTAGACTGAGTATGGTGGGTGGGGTAGGGTGAAAAAGAGTGGAGGGTTCATAATTCTGGCCAGCCATGGAAGCAATATCCCTGAAGCCTGCTTTCTCCTTCCCTCTACCTCAGTCCCTAGAGGGGTGAGGCATGAACTCTAATTTAGATGAACAGAACTCAGAATATCCGGGGGGCCCAGGCTGAGGCCTTTAGTGATCATCTAGTTGAACTTCTTTGTTAAACAAGTGAGGAAACAGACCCCGAGAGGGGAGTGTCTTGTCCCAGGTCACACAGTGAGCTATTGGTTGAGTCAGAATGATGAGATCCCATGTCTTGGTCTTCCCTAATCCCACATCTACTCTTCCTTGATAAAGTCTGTGAACCAAGTAAGAAGGAGAAAAGTGCCCAGGCTCTGCCACCATCAGTGCCCTATGACTATGACCTTGGGCAGTTATTCTATCTGTGCCTCAGTGTCCTCATTTGGACTCTTTCAGGGGAATAATTGTGTACACTTTGGGAGGATGTGAGTTAGAGACCATTTGATTTCTCTGGCGTGCTCATGGCACATTCTTCTGGAGTGATAATTCAACATGAGGTTTAATTGGCAGGGGAAATTTTTTTTTAATTTAAAAACTAGCTATATTGCCAATTAGAATGCAGAACTTTTCAAAAAAAAAAAAGAGGCTTGAGATTAATTTTTCTCATTTATGGAAAACTGTATTAGACTATCCTCTCAGACCTTTGAAGCCCTTGTCACTATATAGTGGAAAGATACGAAAATTTTTGGATTAAAATGATCGCAGGGGCCTCTCTCTACTCAGCAGGCATATGAGTGGTAGTAGCAGGAAGCAGCCATGTGATCCAGACACTGGGAAGTCACCTCAGATCTCTGTCTCCATCCTTATCTTTTGGTCAAAAGGAGAGAGAGAGTAAGTAAGAGACATCATGGAAAACGCTGTTGATCGATGGCACTTTCTCAGTGTGTAAGCTGCCAGCAGGCACACCAGTCTGGTAAACTCTCAGCATATGTGCGTAGTGCTCTGGATTCACCAGCCTCATTCACATGCTTAGAAACTGATTGATTATTGTTCCCACCTTTAAATTATAGGAAGCTTTTGGAGTATAGTTCAATAAAATACAAACATTTTAAATTGCTAATACTAGGGTTAAAGGAGTAGAGCTCTTACCCCATTAGGGAGCAAGCAGCCCTAGGAGCAAATTAAGATAGGTGTGGGGGTGACCAGTAGCTGAGCCAGCACTGAACAAGCCACAGTCGTGGTAAGACAAAGCAGGGCTCCAGCTGGGGCCTAGGCCTGTGTCGATGGATCAGTGCTTCTCCCCTCCGCATTCCTTTGGGTCCGAGAGGAACAGAGTCCCTACCCCAACCATTTCCCTCCATCTCCTGCCACCTCTCCAAGAGCCCTTGTGACCTCAGCCTCTTTTCCCCAGGGAGCCTACTATACACAGCCGGTGTATGCTGCCCAGCCCCATGTCATCCACCATACCACGGTCGTCCAGCCCAACAGCATTCCCTCTGCCATCTACCCAGCACCTGTTGCTGCCCCCAGGACCAATGGCGTGGCCATGGGCATGGTGGCCGGCACCACCATGGCAATGTCAGCAGGTGAGGGCAGTATCTGCCTTAGCATCCCTCCTTCTCCTCCGGGAACTCCTGAGCAGAGAACAATCATGGAACTGAGTGCCATACAGCATAAGAAATCCTATGCGGATATGTTCCAGGGACATATAGGAAGGACCTTCTAAATCTGTCGCAGAGATGAGAAAGATTTCACCAAGAAGGGGATATTGAGCAAGGCTTTAAAGGGTGAATAGAGGCCAGGCAGAGAGGTGACAGAGGGAAGAGCAATACAGGCTGAAAGAATCCAAGGGTGGCAAGTTGATAGAATGGAGGTGGCTGAAGGTACTTCGGAAGTAGGTGAAAGAGTGGTGGCACGGCAGCCAGGGTGAGACAGGGAAAAGTTTGAGAATCTTAAGGTGAGGGAGCTGGCAAGGGGCTTCAAGTAGAAGGACAGGGTTGGGTTTAGATCTCTGGCGACAGGCTGAAGCAGGACCAGAGGATAAGGGTTGGAAGCAGATAGGCCAGTGAGGAGGCTGTCACTGCAGATTAGGGGAGAAATGATGACATGAGGACTCTGGTATCAGTAGGGGGCCCAGAAAAGAGGGCATAGAGCAATGTTATTTTAGCAGACAGGAGTATAAGGACCTGTGGTGAGAGAGGAGGGAAGCAGGAGTCCCCAAAGACCCTTGCAGAGCAGACCAGAGCACTGCCCTTAATGAACCTTGAAGATGGGGGTGGGGAGTTCAGCTTTAGGAAGGTCTAGGGTGAGTTGACACTGAGGGAGAAACTGGGCTTTCCCATTAAGGGTGAGAGAAGACCAGGGTCTTTGACTAGCTTGTAGAGACCAAGGCTTTAAAGAGCCAGCGAGGTCCCCATCTGAGGAAAGAAGGGCCAGGGGTAGAATGGACATTCGGATTTTATTCTGTCCTTTACACTAGCAAGCTACTGATACCTCTCAGGGCCCACCCTGTTGTTTAGGTCCTGGGTACCAGGAATCATTAGGTCAAACCAGAGCCCTTCTCGTAAGGAACATGCAGGTTAGTGTGAGAGATATAAACACAGACACCGACAATTACCGCTTGGTGTGTGCAACAAGAGAATCCCACAAAGAAAAGCGAAAGGAGGCTTCCAAAGAATAGTGGTTGAATCTCTCCTCCAGCATCCGAAAAGATCCTCCTAAAGAGGTAAAGCTTGACATGGGAGAGAAGGTTCCTTAGGCAGGCAGGGGATATGGGGGACTCACTCAGGGGGAGCATTAACTTAAAAGGCATGGTTTCCTCCTCTTCACCCCTGACCCTGGTACAGACTTGTCAGGTTTTCTCTTCTCTTTGCATGCTCAGGTACTCTGCTGACTACACCCCAGCACACCGCGATTGGGGCACACCCTGTCTCCATGCCAACATACAGGGCCCAAGGAACCCCTGCGTACAGCTATGTGCCCCCGCACTGGTAAAACCTTCAGCCCATCCAAGTGAGTGGGGCCAGGGCGGGAGAGGTGGGAAGGGAATGCATATAGAAACTGCCTCAAAGCCCTGACCTGAGTCTGGAGCCTAGGTGTTGTTTTCCTGTTCCAAGACCTGTAATTTCACTCTTTTTTGTGTGTATATGTGGTTCTGACTATTGAACCTATAGGCTCTGGGTTATCTCATAATAATCACAGTAGCTCTGTGAAATAAGAATCATTAGCTCTGTTTTGCAGATAAATATGTAGCTCAACACCATTCAGCCAGTAAAAATTGATCTGAGACTTGAACTCTAGTCCCCCAGTACCAAATTCTGTGTTTTTAACTGTATGGCCTTCAGACTTCCATGAGCCCCATTCTTCAGATGAAATCTTCACCTAAATTGGATGTTAGCTATGGTTTGAGGCAAGTGGAAACTTGGGATTGACCCTGACCACCAGCCCTCTGCTGCCCTACTACTGAAGCAGTGCCTGTGAACTGTAGGATTCCAAGGCTCTCACTTGGGAATTTGCCCTATAGCAGCATCTCCCTTGCCCTCCACCTCCTCTGGGGGCAGTTGGTGCTAGATAACAGCTTCCATGGGCAGGGAGAAACAGCTCCACTAGAAGAACACAGAGGGCTCTGGTTAGGGCTCCCAAGTTGAAAGGAGGGGGTTCAGAGGCTTCCTGAAGTGGCCTGTGGAATATCACTGTCACTGATGGTTTCCCTTCCTCCTCCAGATCTGGAGTCACACATTGTATGCAACTACTCAAGTCTTACACCGGTGCTGGAGCAGCTCCCTAGCAGCACCACCTCTATTTTCAAGAAGAGACAACAGAAGTGCAAGGGTCACTTTATGCATCTTTAATGATTTTGGTTTTTATTTTTGGTTTTTGTAAAAGCTGCTTTTTCTAATCTCCTGCCTTTCCCCCTAGCCCCTCTCTTAGCTGCTGCCCTTTCAGCTGTACCCACTTCTACCTGATCAGGCCACATCCCCTCAGCACTACTTTTTTCCCCCAAGCATCTAGTCCCCAGGATCCCAGTCTAGTAGCAAGCAGAGTGGGGTTTATTGCAGTGGTTCAGCTGAAGGCTCAACTTCATTTGAAGAATATAAACAGATGTGGCCCTCAAGTCCTGGGTCAGAACTCAGAGCTGTTGAGCAGGCAACATCTCTGGGTAATTGTTCTTTTTCTTTCTTTCTTTTTCTTTTTTTTTTTTTAAAGCAAAATTAGTTTAGGACATTTCTACACAAATGAAATGTCTTCTAAGAACCATTGCAGCAGACCAAGAACAAAACCACCTGATTATGTAGGAATGTTATTAGCAGCTTCCTGAGAACCTGGGGAAACCAGAGTCTTTGGGAGAATTGGGGGAAGGGTGGGGGGAGGGGGCATTGGGGAAGGAGAGGGAAGAAAGGGGAGAGAGGTGCTTGCCTGATGGCTTTGGTTTGAAAGGTCTCTGACCATATGTTCTGGGCCTGGACCTTCTGATTTGCACAGTGATGATAACTGACCTGGCACTTCCTCAAAAGGGGATTTGGACCTCAGACCCGCCAAGCAGCTGCAGGGTGGTGGGATCCCAGCATCCTGAGGACTTGAAAGGCCAGGTTCCCTGCATAATCCAGACCTCGGCCTCCAAGCCCTCATAGACCCACTCTGATGAGGAGCTTCCTCCTGATTAGAGTGGGAACCTGTGGCATTTCTCTCCCTTTCCCTTCTGCCCTTCCCAGTACCAGGGCTCACCTGTCTGTCTATGGGGCTGGCAGACGGGCCAGGCTCCTGGTTACCTTGCGCCATTCATGGCCAAAGTGAAGGAACCACATTCCAGGTGGGTGCTGGTGGCTCTGAAGGTCAGGTTGGTGAAGGAAAAGCAATAGCAATAAACCTTTCATAGACTCATGGAACTTAAGGGACCTTAGCAATCATCTCATCCATTTCCCTGTTTGACAGATGAGGAAACTGAGGCCCAGAGAAGAAGAAAGGACTTCCCTAGACCTCGCAGTACATTAGCATTAAATGCAGCCTTCCTACCTAGTAGTATGTTGCCTACAAAATTTACCTAGGGATGGATTGGCTTGGTTTTGTAAAAATTAAGTCAGCAGCGCTCATACCTGGTGAGCTCCAGAATGCTCTCTGGGCTCTTGTTTCTGCTCCTTACCCTCACGGACTCCAGAGGTGTGGGTTGAAGACTGATCTGAGGCTACATGGGGCAGATGGCAGGAACAGAAATTGCAAATGAAGAAATAGCATTTGGAAATTCTGTGAAGATATCTGGAACTTTCGTCCTGTGCCTGACTCCACCCCTAGGAAAAGGAGCAGGTGGGCTGGCTGAAAAGGAGAGGCCATGCTTTTAGGACAGTAGCCCCTCATCCTGAGAAGAGAGGAAGAGAGTGGGAGCCCTCAGGAGAGGAGTTCGAGGATAAGGCCCAGCAGACATGGGCTCATCTGGGAGAAGAGGGACCCCTAGGACAAAGAGGCCCCTGCTAGTCTCAGCCAGGAGCCTGGATTGCCCAGCACCATCCTCTTGTACCCAGCATGTAACTGGGCCAGCAGCCCCTCTGGGGTGGGGCAGGAACATTTTACTGTACAAAGTGGGATCATTGACAACATTTGGGATTTTTAAAATAACTTCATTTTAAATTCTTGTAAACTTGGACATACCATTCCCCCTATCTTCCAATTCTCCCCTCAAGGAGGAAAAAAATCAGGAAACCCTTGGGTCGGAAAGACCTCAGAAACCGTCTAGCTGTTCCCAGGAGATCAGAGCCCACAGTGTCCTTGGCTCAGTGCCAGGAGTTTGGGGGCCACCTTCCTGACCTTCCAGGGAACTTCAAGACTAGAAAAAGAAAACCCAGCTATTCTGAGAGGTCTGTTCTGGGGTGCTTGATGAGGTTTTATTTTAAAACAACAGAAAGTTTTCCAGTGTTAATCCATTTTTTGCAAATACTTCCTCCCACCCTCTTTGGTTTCATAAAGGTGGGTGAAGGCTGTTCTAGATTATGTCATATGTGTTTGGAAAATGCCAAAATAATAATAATGATAATAATAGGAAACATTTGTCAGGTGCTTAATAGATTTCAAAGCACTTCACAGCCTTTAATTTTACAGGTCCAGAGAGAGACAGGGTCAGTTATTCCACCCATTTGACAAATGAGAATACAGGTTGTAGAAGAAAGGGAATGGGCCTGAAGTGAGCTGAATGCTGGGGTCCTGACAGGCTTCCATGACCCTGTCGCCTCGTGGGCTGGGTGGAACTACAGAAAGGAGGGGAAAAAGGAAGAGACCTAGGAATGACCTTATAACTTTTGTTCTTTCTACACCCATAAGTAAAAACTAACATCTGTACCTCACATTGCACAGAGCAGTTTAATATATAGCATGTGGTAACCCTGAGAAATGGTGATTATGCCTCCTATTTGATCTATAAGGAAACTGAGGCTCAGAAACAAGCAGCAGAACTCCTTGAATCCCAGGCTGTGTGCTCTTTCTCTTCCAGCCTGACCCCCACAGGCCCATGTACTGAAGTGTCTGTGCTCAGCACCTTATCTTGTAACCCTGGTATACAATTCAGGATGAGAGAGAAGCTCTGAGGTAAAGATAAGGCATTGAAAAGCTACGGTCTGGAGGGCCCAGCCCAGAACCCCTTTGTCAGTATAAGCAGTGGAGCCACAGCTGAGCTGGCCTTGCCCTCTTGTTTTGACAGAAATCCATAAGCCTGGCCAAGCTTAGGGAGTCACTACAAAGGGATCTAGCCCTGGAGAACAGGGCAGTGTCTGCCTCTGATTGGATGAGCCCAGCTCTGGCAAAGGTCACAGGCTTCTGGCAGGAGATACTGTAAATATCAACCAAAGATTCTGGATGGCCCCATGGTCAAACTGGACAGAAGGTCAAAGCTGGAAGGGTCCTCTTGTCACAGGAAGGCGGGCAAACCAGACAACACAAGGGACATGCACATGTGACTTAGCCATGACATGCAAGCCCTCTGAATCCCATGCTACTGCCTCTCCCCAGCTAAGCATTTTGGTGGCCAGGGCCAGGGGTGAAATTGGTTCCAATCACTAGACAACACTGTGGCTTCCCCTACTGCCCCCTGACTGGCCTGGGGCCCAGGAAGCTCATCTAGGAGCTGGGTTCCCCAAATGATGAAAGCCTGAAACTTCATTTTTTTGCCATGCTTAAAAAAAAAAACAAAACAAAGACGTGTTTCTGTGAGATAGACAGTTGTTGTCCCTTCAGGCAATGAACCTAAAGTATATACCCTCTTCCCTGAATATTCAACAGGGATGCACACACCTGTCCAAAGCTTTTTAGGTTTGTAAAGTACTTTGATGTTGATTGCCAAAACTTCCATTTTATACATGAAAAAACTAATGTTTTTCGAGAGTTAAGAGAGGTTAAGAGACTTGCCAAATGACACACTACACAGGGCTCATGAGCGAAAGAGCCAAGGTTCAAGCTCTTCAAATCCTCTGCTCTTTCTGCTGCCACCTACTGGGTCTTTCAGGGACAGGCTAGAAGAAGGGAGGGGCTCCCTGTCTGCCCCAAGCAGAGGAAACTTTATGGAGGCCTGGGAAGCTCACTGCTCTCAGAGGAGCAGAGTTTTATGAATTTCTGCTTTGAACCAAAATCTGTGATAGGCCCTGGGAACCCAGAGTTATATCCAGCTGGTAGCACAGAAAGGATGAGAATTTGGATCACAAGGCTAACTTGAAAAAAGCACTTTGCAGTCACAGTGCCCAGGACTGAAGACATGTTCAAGGATAGCTCCAGGAATCTTTTTCTATTGAAAGACCCATGTCTCTCGGAAACCTGCAGCACCCTGGCTTTGTGACCCCTGAAAGCCTGCCCACTATCCAGATCCAGCAAGTTGGCACTTCTAGAGGGCCTGCCATAGCCCTGAATAGCCAAAAACAGATCTTGCCTGGAGTCCTGGGCTTGCTTTTTCATGGGTGAGACCAGAAGCAAGACCAAATGAGTAGGCTCTGTGCATACTAGTCCTTTCCCCTTGCCACCCAAATTGTTCCAAATTTTGAGGTAACCTCCTTCCAGAGATCTGAAGTTGTTTTGGAGGGCTTGGTTTGTCTAAATGGACTTCAAAAATGAACCACATGAGACAGGATGAGCCCCTTGGTCACCAATTTCTTGTATATTGTATATCTAGACTGGACACGTCCTTGCTGACTGAGCAAGACCAGCATATCAAATTCCTTGGGTCTGCTCTTTGGCCAGAGGGCACAGGCTTCACTGTGGGTGTCATCACCACCACCTCTGGTCTTCGTCACCATACAGTGACTCTAAAGTGGAGTGGAGTGAGGTATATGCAAGCTCTGCTTTTCTGCCCCATGTCAACATGTCACCACTGGTTGTGCAGCCCCTAGCTTCTTGTCATTTTGGGATTCCAGAATGGGTAAAGCAGGCCTGGTGCTGGTGTGCAAGTCCCACCCACTGCTGAAAGCCAGGGTCTATGGGGAAACCCAGCTACTGTAACTGGGCAGATTCCACACCCAAGCCTCTAAGCACTTGTGCTTCTGTTGGGTGTGCCAGGCTAGCTTCAGGATGTGTCCTTTACCCATTCATGTCCCCACTCCTAGAAAACGCTTCTGAAATTCAACATTACATGGTTCCAGGACCCAGCCTTCAAAATTCCTGGCAGGCTAGCTTCAACGTTCCATGGCCTGCCTTGCCTGGGCTACACTTGAGTCTCAGTCCTTCAGTTTCTCCCATGGGTATTTCCTATCTTGCATGTTGTTGAGTCCAGCCCGACAGCCAGCCAAGGAGCACAGGAGATTGGCTGCCACAGGGCCAGGGAGGGACACAACAGCCCCCGCTTCACTGTGGCTACATCAGTAATCCCTAGGTGTCCTTGCTGTGGCAGTCCCCTTACTCATTCCAGCCCCCAGGGGGGAATTTTTCTTCCTGAACAGAACACAGGTAACAGCTTGGCAGATAAGTACCAGCTCATGGAAATCAAATAGGTGAAATCAGCTTTGGGCTGACCCCAGCAAGAGGAGCATCCTCCAGGTTCCGACCGCTCATGCCTGAGAGTCAAGGAAAGAGTGAGACTGGCCCAGAGGTCTTCTCGGGTCAGCCAGGTTGCCCAAATCTGTGTGGTGGCTCAAGCTCCTCTTTAGCCGAGGGGAGGTAAGGCTATGCCTAGCACCTTGGAGTTGTCTGTGATGATCTTAAAAGGCCCCGGACCAGTGTCAGTCCCCTTCCTGACTTCAAGGCATCTGGATCCCTTTCATATCATGACAGAGAAGCCTGTTCTCATGGCATGTAATCCCTGTGAAGAGAGCGTTGTATATGATTTTGTATTTTTTAATTCATTTTAATCTACAGGTTGGAATCTAATTTTTAAATTTTATTGGAACTCACGTTTTAAAACAAATAAAAACATTTAAAATAATAATAATAATAAAAAACTTTTGACCAGTGTCTTCCAAGTAGTTTGATCAAAGAGTTATAGGTGTTTTCAAAACACAACGTGGAGTGTAAAGATTGGAAAGCCCCACCGGCCTCGCTTGTGTGCGTATGAAGTGTAAATCTGGATTTGTTGCATTGTTTTGGATTCCTTTGGGTTTTGTTTTGTTTTGTTTTGAAGATCAGATAGTGATCATTCTGAAAGATTGAAGCCAAGAGTTTGTAACTATGATATTTACTGTAAACTGTAGAACATTCAATAACTATTAAAAAAAAAAGTTTCCAAAAAAAAAAAAAAAAAAACCAAAGTCCTAGGTGACCAGACTGAGTGGTTCTTGGGGGAGGGAGGCACAAAAACCCACCCCCAGCCAGTGAATTCCCTGGGCTTCTCCCCAAGGTGATTCACAGTGAAGGAATGCACGCCTGCACAGCAGTGAGTGCCCTCAGCCACTCTCAATTGACAGGGAGCTGTGCAGTGGCGACTAGCACCTGGAATAAGTTGTGTGACTGGAGCTCGGTGAGGCCATTAATTGCTGACATCTGCAGGGCTGGGGTGTAGCTCTGTAGTGGAGTGTGCGAAGCATGCATGAGGGCTGGGATTGATGCCCAGCACCCGCCCTTGCCAAAAAAGCTGTGGAGTGCTTCCTCTGTGGCTGGTGCTTGCCACTCATTTCCTGCTTAACACAGTCTTCACAGCTGACTGTGAGGCAAGTCCTATCCCTGTCTTAAAAGGGGAAGCCACGGAGGGTAAATGCACTTACAGAGCTGGTGAGGGGCAGAGTTGGAACTCATGCTGGGTCTGGCTCCAGAACCCAGACACCAAGGCTCTCATTCTCCCGCCCATCCCAGAAGGGAGCTTTTTAAAGGGTGGATTTATCAGATGGAAACCAAGAAGGCTTTGTGGTTTGTAGCTACAGGACAGTTGACAGAGTGCACATGATCTATCCAAGCAGTCATCAGGTCAGTTTTACCTTCAAAACATCTGAATCTCTTTTCCCCTTTCTGGGTGATGATACTGCCCTAGGCGAGAAGCCTGGGCCACTGGGCCTTTCCAGGGCCTGAACAAGACAATTTATTCTCCACATGCTGGCATCCACACCTCTAAGAATGCAACCATTACAAATGGAGGAAAAAACAGGCCCATTAGAGTGATCACTTAGAAAGACTAAAACCAAGCATTTGTCTCTATGCTATTTATTATAAGCTGTGTAACATTCAATAGTATGCGAGGCCCTGGGTTCAGTTTTGGGGTGGGGAGGGGGAGGCAACCAGACTTTGTTCTCTCCAGTGCTTTCCATCAAACATCCCACACTCCCATGGCACTCCCCAGTGTCCCTTTCTGTCCTTGACTTAGCTTGAAAACCAGTGGCTGGGGAAGGCACCTCTGGCCACTAGTATTGCTGTGTCACAGCACTCAGTTTCTCCAGGGCAGGACCGGATTTCTTGGGCACTCAACGCCAGGTCATAGTGGCAGGGCTGAGGCCAGGATCAGGCAGGGAAGTTGAGACCTGGGCCCCAACCTCCACCATTCTGGGGAGGAGGTACACACTTGTAATCCCAGCAACTTAAGAAGGTGAGTCAGAAGGCATGCAAGTTTGAGGCCAGTCTCAGCAACTTAGGGAAACGCTCGCTCTCAAAAAAAAAAAAGAAAGAAAGGGCAGGGGATTGGTTCAGTGGTTAAGTGTCCCTGGGTTCAATCCCTAGTACCAAAAAAAAAAAGAAGAAGAAGAACTAAGAGAGTTTCAGGGACTTGAAGTGAAGAGCCAGGAAAACTTGCAGAAGTGGGAGCTGGAGCCCAGGAGCATTAGGCACACCCCTACATACCCCTTAGCTCTTCATCCTGCTCTTGAAGAACTACCCTCAACCCCAAGAGACAAGCCACTCCTCTCAGCAAGCAGGAGGCTGGGCAGGCAGGGGAGCACAGTACTCCCCTGTGATATGGATGTCCCTAACAGCCTGGGGAGCCTGGACACAGTGTCGGTCTGTACCCTGGCTGGCATCTGTAGATGCCTGTGGTAGGAAAGGACATCAAAAGACCACAGTGCAGCCTTCCCCTGGGGAAGGAAGCCAAAGCAGGAGAATGGGTCCATTTTCTCATCCTCACGTACCCCCAGAGTGGGCCATGTGTTGCCCAAGTCCTAGGTCAAAAGCGGGTAGTTGGCTGGCTGAGGGGACAATCAAGTTCGAGAATCTGAATAGCTGGCAAGTAGAGATGCCAAGTGCACCCAGCAGCCCCAGGGAACATTTCCTTTGGTTCACTGGTTACATCGGCTAGTCATCTATCCTGCCCTAGATTGTGATTGACAACCTTTACTGTCCCCCAAAAATCTCCTTCTGCTGTCCATCATTCCTGTATCCTTCCTTCCTATCCTAGTACAGGTGAAACCTTGTCTGCCACTTCCTCAGGAGCACCCCATCCCTTTCCTTCTCAACTGAGAAGCCGCAGAGAGAAGCCTGTGCCCTGGTAGCTGGGGAGAAGCCAGGGGAAGTGGAATCTCAAAGCATGTCTGCCCATCTTGTTGAGGGTGGGAGTTTTAGTCTGAGGCCACCAGGCCCCTGCCTTGGCTTCTGCCTAGAAGCTTCTGCCCTCTGTGAAGCCAGGATTCCTGCAGCACCAACCCAGTCATTTATGGCTGCTTCATAAGAGGCCCAATTCATGCAGGCTGGTCCTCTCCACACCTCCTGGTTCCATTCGGGGTCTCTTTCTAGCTCCTCAGCCTCTCCAGGGGTAGGTCAGTGGTGTTTACATGTGTCATCCTCTTTCGTGTTGTGTTTTGTTTTGCTCTAGGATATTGGATTGACTCTAGAGCCTCTTGCGTGTGAGGGCAGTGTTCTACCGCTGAGCTACATCCTTAGCCCTTTTTATTTTGAGATGGTCTCACCAAGTTGCCCAGGCTGGCCTTGAACTTTTGATCATGCTGCCTTAACCTCTTGAGTAGCAGGGGTTACAGGCATGTGCCACAGTCCCTGACTACTTCTTTCCATCTTCTGACAGAATAACAAACACCAATGAATTCCCAACTTAACTAAAAACAATCTCTCCCAGAACCTAAGGCCCCACTAGCCATGGCCTGACACAGCCAGGCTTCTGCATGGAGCTGTCTCTCTCAGTCCACTTGGACCTGGCCTTGCTCTCACTGCTTCCCTGAGAGGACTCCCTCTAAATCCATGTCTACTCAGGCAGCAGTCCTCCTGGCCCATCAGCGGCACCTGGCCTTGTAGCCCATCCTCTTCTCCACCCCCTTGCCCTCTCAGCTGCCAGGACACTGTCCTCTCCTGATTTTCTGCCTGGTGGTTCTTTCTCTGCCAGGCCCTGGAGCAGTCCCAGGATCTGCTCTGGGCCCTTTCCCTGAGACATGTCCCAGCTCAGACCTGGCATAAATGTTCATCTAAGTGATATTCTTGTCAACCAGGTCTGTCTCTTTAAAGCTCCAGACTTCCATGTCCAGATGCCATTAGGACACCTGTCAGGGCTGTCATAGGTGCCCCCAGGACTGCTCTTGCCCCACCCAGCTGGCCCTAATCCCTTGCCCCACATCCTGTTAAGGAGCCCTTGCAGGTCTGCCCTAGGAGTTCCGTGGCTCCAGCTGTTCCTCTCCATCATCTCTTGCCTGGACAGCTGCAAAGGCTCCTTCAAGGTACCCCTGCTTCCACTGACCCTGCACTCTGCACACTGTGGCCAGGAGGGTCAGGCTCCTCTAATGGGTCAGGCTCCTCTCCTTCATGTTTTGGTGGCCAGTTTCCATTTGGCCTTTGGTGGCCAGTTTCCATTTGGCCTTTGTGCTGTTCCCCCTCCATGGAACTGTCTCCCCTTTCCACACTCCAGCTCCCAGTGCCTCCCCCATCCCCATTCATCTCCAGGCTCCATGCCACTGCTTCCTCTAGCGCTTGCTGTCCAATAGGATGATCATTTGCCACATGTGGCTCTTGAGCCCCTGAAATATGCTAGTTCATATTAAGATGTTTAAAATACATAAACACTGAAAAGCAAAAAAAAACAAAAAAACAAACTCATTCATAATTTTTACATTGATTTTATATTGCAATGAAAATATTTTGGATATACTGAGTTTAAAAGACAGTATTGATAATTATTAAAATTAAATCCACCTATTTTTACTTTTTGGAATGGTTATTAGAAATTTGAATCCCATACGTGGCTCACACTGTTTTTCTGTTGGACAGCCCTCTAGGGGCCTTCATGGGAACCAGGTGAAGTTAGGGGCCTCCTCTGGCCCATATTCCCCACTACTGAGGTGTTGTGAGGGGAGGGACCGCCTGTCCAGCACATGAAGCCCAACACAGTAGGGCTGAAGAGTATGTGTTGAACAGACAGATGACCTCGGGAAGGGGCACAAGGAAAAGAAGGTCCTCATACACCACTTTCCCACCTTTTATTCTTCGACAAGTGGATGGGGATGGAGATGCAAAGATAACAGCAAGTTTTAATAAATAAGAGAAATGGGGACAGGCAGTGGGCCTGCGCCTGCACGGCCCCACATAAATAATGAGGTGGCTGAGCCCGAGTGGAGACAGACAGGGCTGGGCCAGCAGTCACCTGCGCTGTCCAGGGCTGGGGGCAGACATGCTGCACCACAGGGACACAGAAACCACTGATGCCAGAAGTGCTCTTCATCCCAGCCAGTGGTCCTCTCCCCAAAGTTCCAGAGATCTGGGGGTGGCAGAGTGGGCTGGGGCTCTGCACTTCAGCTTCGCCCAGGTCAAGTCATTTTTCAGTTTCATTAAAAACAGCGAAGTAGGGCAGGCACATGCAAGTAAGCCTCTTCTGTAGGCAGAGCCGTGGATGGGCAGCCCCATGGGGGCCTTGAAGGCAGAGGCCCCGGAAGCAGCAAAAATGGGCCAGATAAAGCTACTAATGGGAGAGGTGGCAGAGTCAAGCACCCCCTCCACAGGACCCATCCCAGAACCTCCAAGGAGCTGGAGAGGTCCTGGGCACTGAGGCGTGATTCTCTCCCTACTTCACAAATAAACTGGGACCAGTGATGGCCAGGGATGTGCCCAGGATTAGATCCCAGGAACTTGGCCTCCCAGCCCAGGGCTTTTATATTGCCCTTTCCATTTACAGAACCTGCTAGAAAAGGAGGAAGAAGCACATCTGCTCTAGGGCCCTGTACAGGGGCAGGATAGCTAGTCACCAAAGTGTGGGACTGGGGCACCAAGTACAGGCGCCACCTCTCTGCCAAGCCTAGACCTCTGGTGGTACAGAGAACTCTCGGCTCCTAGGATGTGGCCAGGGCAGGCACAGGGTTAGGGCATCCTACAGGGTAGGAACTGGGCAGCAGGGACAGGGGCCAGGCTCTCAATCTGCTCCTTCACACAGTGCCCGCCAACTGCCTGCCTCCTCACTGGGGCGGACGGTCCCACCTCCAGGCCTTGGCCTTTGCTGTTTTGCCTGCTGGGCCATCGCTTCTTGGTCCTCACAGTCCCAGCTGTAGCTCTTCCTCATCCAGGAAGCCTTCAGAACCTCCCAAGGCAGGTTTGAGTGTCCTTAAAGTAGGCAGCCCCTCAGATAACCAGGTTGCTCTCACTTAGCCGGACCACATAGCGGTTCTCCTGGGAGACAGGGATGAAAGGCCAAAGCTGATTCAAGGGGCTTCCAGGCTCCCAGTGAATGGCTCTTTCCCAGGGACCCTGCACTTGTGCCCCTGTTCTGGAGCCCAAGATACTCACAAGCCTTCCCCAGCCCTCACCTCAGCTTTGTTCTCTGCTGGGGGCTTCAACCACTTCGTATGGCTCCCACCACTTCCCAGCAGTGCTTGCTGCTCCGGCAGGAGGCCAGGTTGTGGGGAGTCAGGGAGATCACCCCCCGAAGGCCCAGCCTCCGTGATGGTCTTCACCTCAGATGCTGCTGAACTTGTCCGCTGCTCAGGAATTCGAGCCACGCGGAACCTGGGAGAAGAGGTGGTGTGACCACTCTGGGTGCAGAGTTTGAGTTCAGGGTCAGAGCCTCTGACACCTGTGCCTGAGCGTCTTCCAGGCCCTCCATAGATAAGGCTTCCCTCCGCTGTTTTTACCTAGCCCAGCACCCCACCTCTAGGTGTCAGACGCCCTTGGCCTCAGAGGTCCCAGATGCCACAGGGGCCAACACATGCCCTGAAAACCCAAGGGCTCCATGTGAGGTGTTGCACAGCTGATTTCTTTCTGCCACCCACCCTACTAGAGAGGCCCACAAAGGGTAGGACCATCACTGAGCAGAGTACCCAGGGTTTAATCTAGGACCCTGCCTCCACTCAAGGCTGTCACCTCTCCATCATCCTGGTGCAACTGTGCCAACCTCACCTGCCCACAGACAAGATGGTGATCTCGCCCTGACGTCCTGTCTTGGCCCCAGCCTTGGGAGCCCTGGCTGGGTTGGGCAGAAGGCTGGGAGCAGGAGTAGTAGCAGCTGCAGCCTCAGGGGACAGCAGTACCTCGGGCCACTTCTTCTGACTACAACGGGAGCAGCAGGGGCCAGAGAGTGAAGCTAGGCCCTGCACGGTGTGGAGGTGGTGGCGATGAGGGCAGATGTGTGGCATACTGGGGGAGGCCGGCGGGAGCCTACAGAAGGGAACGGGTAGGAGCAGTCATCAGGGCAGCCCAGGCTTAGGGCCAGAAAACCCAAGCAGGTAGAGAAGGGGTAGAGGTAGCATGTGAGGGAAGAGACCCAATCGGTAGCCCCCAGGAGGCAGGCTGATTATCCGAAGGCCCTGCCCCCCTCACCTGGGCACAGGCCTGTGGCTTGTCTGCACCAGCTGTTTGCTGTGGTATTCTTTCAGCAGCTCCTCCAGGGCCGCCGCATTCTCTGTGGGCAGCTGTGGTCAGAACCCAGCTCCAACCATAATGGGAGCCCCCAAGTCCCAGCAGAGCCCCCTACCTACCCACCACGCATACCCAAGCTGGGCTCTGCACCTTTTCCTCCACCCCTCATCAAGCAAGACCAAAGACATGGGGCAGCACCGCGTCTGTCTGAAGCACCCAGGCGGCGAGGGCAGAGCAGGGCAGTTCAGTGACCTTACACCGCCTCATAGGCTCCAGGAAGAGACACTCCTCTCCTGGGCACTGGGATGGGTCAGACTGTGTCCTTACCTTTCTTTTCTGTGATCAGACGCACCAGGACCCCAATGGTGTCCTCATTGGCATCCTCAGTCCTGTAGGCAGGGTTGATCCCTGGGAAAGAGAAGAACCAGGATCAGCCAGCAGAGGGCACCCCGGGCCTTGAAATCAGAGCTGAGCTTGGTTAAGGTGACAGTAGATGACAGAAGTATCCCAGGGCTGTGCACCTGCGGGCTCTGGGCCTCGGCTATGGCTCAGAGTAGCCCACCATCGCAGTTACTACTGAACACTCACTCCTTCTCTACCAGAAGCCCCGGGTACTCAGTGATTTCAGGGCCATCTGCAGACTGTGCGGGTGAGGGGCTGTATCAGCCTCCTCTGGGTCGCACTGCCTCTCTGCAGTGGGATCCTTCTTACCCAGAACTCCCAACATCTATCGCAAACTCTGCCCCTCCAGGCCCATTACTTCCTGCACACCTCCCTGTCCGTGGCACTGTTTAACTGAGGTCCTTGGTTAGCTTTGGGCCCAGACCTCAAGGGTATGGGAATGGGCCAACATGATCGATCCCAAACCCAGCAGCAAAGAAAGCTCCTAGGCAGCAGCCAGAGGTTAAAGAAAGTCACTAAGCTAGGAAAACAAGTGTAGTCCCAGGCAAAACCGCCCTCAGTCGCCACCTTCCTGCCTGCCTTCCCGCCCCCTCCAGATTTTAGTGTCAGGAGTTAGAAGGGGCTTTGGCCAGCCCCAGGCAGTCTGGGACTCTGGCATAGGAGGTGCTATTTCACTCTTGACTTGGCCAGAGGCCCAAGGGTGGTGTATATGGAAGTGGGGCCCCTGTCCTTCAGGAGGCATTGGCCAGGTAGGGGAGAGGAAGGAGACCCAGGCCCTGGGGTAGGAGTGAGAGAATGTGCCTCTTCCTCTTTCCAGAACTTGTAATTCAAACCACAGCCCGCAGCTGTAACCTGAGCTCCTTGTGGTGTCTGCCCAGGACAACTGCCCCCTTCCCACAGGACATTCCTCCAGCTACAGGCCAGAGGTCAAAGGTCACTTTCAGTACTTAAAAGGTCATCCACCCTGGAACCATACACACAATTACAGCCTGTAGACCCGCCCCCTCAGGAATCCAGATCTCCATAGCTGGGCCCGGCTCAACGAAAAAGGGCTACCACCACTTGACCAGCTCTGCTGGTTCTGCCCCGTCACCATTCCTGGACCCTCACCTTCCTCCCAGCAGCAGCACCTCTGTAGGCGTCTCCCCTGAGGCTGGCGCACACCACCTTCAGGAGGCCCTCCCAGTTGGCCCTCCACAGGCCTCTCCTTGCCAGAGCCCCCAAGGCCAGGGAGGTTCCCTCTGGTCGCCTCCAAGTTCCCTGTCTCCCACCTGGACCCCAAGCCCGGCCTCACCACTGCCTCCACCTCCAGGGCCGGGCCCGACCTCCTTGTGCGCCGTGCAGTGGTAGCCCTTCCGCTTGAGCAGGTTGCACACCAGGATGCCCAGGAGCCCCATGAGGCAGAAGATGGGCACGATGGCAATGACCGCATACTGAGCAGCCGTCTCCTCAGGGCCACCGGCCCGTGTGCCGTTCCCCGGCTGCTGAGTCTCACCACCGCCACTGGACCCGGCTGCCACCTCCACGCCACGTCGGGCCCGCCGCCCCCACTCTGAGCACAAGATGGAGGCAGAGGAAAACAGAGAGGCAGAGAGGCCCAGGGCCCAAGTTAGTGTGGGTGGGGTGGAGGGAGGACTGATGGTCCAGGGCAGCCCACGCCCCGCCATACTGGGGAGGCAAAGGCCGGCTCAACCCTGCCTTTCTTCCGTTTTTTGCCAAACAGGGGTCCTGAAACAGGCTTCCTCGGGCCTCAGGATGGGCAGCCCCTGGCACCCCCATCACCCCTCATGCTGGGTGAGGAGTGAACAGATGGCAACGTGGCACATGCCTAGGCACGGGGACGCGGAATCCTGCCTCCCTAAGGCAGGCCCTGTGAATGAGTCACCTGAGAGGGCGACTGGCTCAGCGGTGAGGTGTGCCCATGTGTTTATGTGTGTGGACACATTCACTTGCAGGGTCTCATGGAGAGGACAGGAATGGGAGCCTGGTCAGGATGTGAACCTCCTCAGCCCCTAATTGTGGCCTCCACCCTCTGTATGGTTTCTGCCACTCAGAAGTAAAGGGAGGTGACTGGCCATATTCTGCTGGGCTCCCCCGGGCTGGCTGTCCTCCCAGGGGCTAAGAGGACCCCAGTGCCCCAAATGGACAATCAGGAACTCCTGGGCTCAAGCTCCTGCACCCATTCCTCACACACCTCCAATCTGCCACTCACCATTACAGCCAGGAGTGCTCAGAGATGCCCAGGAACATGGTTGACATGGAATGTGGGGAACCCCCCGAGGCCCAATCCACCTGCAGGGAGAGATGTCACTGAGGTCCAGAAGTTTCCCCCAAAACTGTCCGTAGGCTGGATTCCTTCCTATCAGTCACCCTCAATGGTCTTGTTCCATCCCATTTCACAGATGGGAGGACTAAGGTCTATGTAGGGTGGAAATAGGCTGGAACTCCAGGATCCATAGTCCTGGCCTCTTAGTCATGAGCTCCCACCATCCACCCCTTGCTCACCCAGGCTGGCAGCCTCCACATAGTGTATCCTGGGTTGCAGTGCCAGCCTGGACCTCCAGCCTCCTTCGAAGGCTGCAGCGGTCATGAGGCTGGCATGGGCTGGAGCCCCAGGAGATGGAGAAGGTGCCTGGGGGGCAGGACCTGCATAATGTGCCCTGACCCTGGTCCTGTAGGAAACAAAGGGTGAGAAGGAGGCCAGGAGTCAGGCCTGAGATCCCTGGGGAAGCCAGGCCTGGGACCCCACCCCTTGCCCTAAGATGTCTTCCCAGGAGAGGGCAGATGTGCAGCTCAGTGCTCACCAGATCGGGCTCCTCCCCAGGTGGGCACTGCCAAAGGGTCGTTGGTGTTGCAGTGGCCAGAGGCCAGGGCAGCAGCTGGAAGAAAAGGAAACAGGAGCATATTGAGGGAGGGAAGGAGAGAGTTCTGGGCACGGGGTCACTAGGGTCATCTGAGCCCATAGGAGTGGAGATCGCTGACCACATAGGGCCATCCCACCCAGGCTTCATGGACACTTTTCTAACCTTGATCCCTCACACTGCAAGGAAAACCTGCCCTGTCCCAGACCTGCTTCATTACCAGTGCCTGAGTAGGGAGAAAAATCACATCTGCTTCAGGAAAGTTCTGGAAAGCCCCAGACAGGGGATCAGGACCTCAAGCCCCTGGATCTCTGAATTACACCCCTTCCAGCTAACAAGACCAATGAGGAGGAAATGCTTCCGAATTCCTCTCTGTTTCTGTCCCTCTTCCTGCTGCAACCCCTGCCCCCCAATCACAGCTGGACATGTCATTAGCCCGCCTCTGTTTATCATTCCTGGAGCCAAGTTTGCAGCTGGTGCTTACTATTCTGGGCCCTGGGCTGAGTCTCTGAGACCACATCCTCCTCTGTGACCTCCTCCTGTGGCAAGGCCGCCCCATTCACCCGGGCACGCAAACAGAGGATGGCACATTCAAAAGAAGGGTGTCCCAGCGCCTCCCACGGGGAGCTCCCACTGCTTCCCACTTCCAGGTGTGAACCATCTGGCCTCAACTCCTGCTGTGGGGAGACCATGTCCTTCATTTTAGTCCAACACTGATTTGGGGGTATGAGGCAGAGAGCAGAGCCAGCTCCCTTGGAGGCAAAATGTCACAGAGGCTCTGGGGATCTCCTCAGGCTCCAGACCTGGCTCCAGTACCTGCCTGAGGCCAGGTATCACACTCAGGAATTCCAGCCTCAGAAAGAAAGACGACTCCAAACCAGACGCCAAGACCTGTCTGGGGCCAAGTCTGGCCGGATTCTCTCATTTCCATCACAGATCTCAACTCCAGCATCTGAGGTGCCCCAAATCCCAGGCGTCTTTGGCCCAATTTCCTCAGGTTCCCCACTACTGGCCACTATTCCCACATCAGCTGCTGACAGGCACCTGCCCTTAGCCACCAGGCCTTGCCTACAAATGCAAGTCCTTCCTTCTCCTCCCCCTGCCCCCCGCCCAGCCTGGGTAGGCATGGTCTGCGAAAGCAGTGTCTTCTGCCTTGGATGGGTAGGGGAAGCCATGGCCTTCCCTCCTGGCTCACCATTTCATGCCAGGGTGGGTCAGGATGGGCTACCTGGGGTTGGACAGCCCCAAATGCTTCCCAAGAAGAGCTGAATAATCAAGCTTCGTCCCAGCATGGGGTTCCTGAGCAGGCTCACTCCCTCCTCCCTGGAGCTCCTCCCCAGCCCGTCCCACTCACCACGAGGAGGCAGGACAGGGGCCAGCACAGTCCGCTCAGCTTCATCATCAGGCCCTGCGGCAATCTCTGGCCTAGGGTAGATGGAGGGAAGACTCAGGGGCCAGCCAGGATAGAAAGGCAGCTGCTGTCCCCCCAGGCACTTCAGAATGACAGGCCTTCACAAGGAGTTGGGAGAGTGCCCTAGATCTCCACCCAGGTCCAGTCTGAGCAGAGGTGGGCTGCACCGTGCAGGGCCAGCCTCACTGGAAGAACAGAGGGCCCTGCAGGCTGGGGAGGCTTCCCAGAGGAGGAAGGGCTTCCTTCCCCTTCCATAAACAGCCAGGTGCCCTGCGGCATTGCAGGGGAGCACAGGAGGAAGGAAGCGTGGGGAGGCCGAGCCAGGCAGAGAAGGCTGCAGCCCTCAACCTCGGCCTCTGCTCTCCTCTGCAGCTTCCAGGCTCCTGCCAACTGCAGCCCACAAGCCCACGGCCTCTGGCCTCACGTTCCTCTGCCTCCACTCTCACTGGTTCTGCTCTAAGGAAGGCCCTGTCCCCACCTTTCAAACACTTTTCTTTCTGGAAGCTTTTCTAGAAGTTTTCCCCAAAGCTGAGTCTGGCTCCTATAACTCCTGTGCCTCACTCCATCACAGGCCTGGAACCTTCCACATGGCCACTGTCCACGCATCCCCAGGGAGGGCCAGGACATGTCTACTTACATCTCTGCCTGCCTGGCTGCCGCAGGGGATCTGAAGGGGTAGGTGGCCATGGCAGCAGAGTTCAGCCTCTCTTCCTCTTTCCCCCATGGGCCAGCCACTGCCCTCACTGGGGAAATAGGACCCTGTCCTCAAGGATCCCCATCCCCGGGGACCCCATACTGCAGAGATTGAGAGAGTGGTTCCCCTGCCAGTCAGTGGGAAGTGCCAAAGAACAAAACACAGCAACATCAGTGGTGCTGCCCAGCCCCCTGGCCAGCCAAGACTGAGGCCCCAGGGCCAGAATGCGGCTGCTTCTGGAGAAGCCCCCAGCCAGTGGACAAGTTGGAACAACAGGATTCAGGATTCAAATTACACAACCGCAGGGACTGTTGCTGAATGAGGAAGCTCCAGGATGTACCCCAGAGGCCTGCTTTCAGGGTTGTAAAGGTGACAGAAACAGTGTTCATGGGACCTGGACACAGGCCATGTACAGCCTCTGAGGTCCAAGGATGGCTCATGGGACTTAGAGAGCCCAGCCACTGTCCTAGGTCATGGGCAGGCAGAGGAGCCCCAACCTATGTGATGCCAACCCTCCAGGAGACACATTGCCTGTGGCAAGTTCCAGGTCACACGGAAGACCCTCTCCCTGTGGGCAGCCCGGACTTCCCGCCTGGAAAAGGAGCCCAGGAAATTGATCCACCCGCCTGACCTGGCCAGACATAGACCTCGCAGGGCCAGGGGTTTGTGTTACACCCAGGGGAGGGGGAGGGGAGTAGTCACATCATCCTTGGGACTCTCCAGGTCACTGGCAGCCAGCCACTCTTGGCCCCAGGCCAGGTAAGGGGAAAACCAGGGACAAGGAAGCCCAGGCCACAGGGTAGGTGAAGGCTGAATCTGGCAGCCAACACTCAACAGACTGCGTCCCCTGACTCATCTCCCGACCTGCCCTCCTCAAATCTGGTCACAGCGTCCCTTCCCCCTACTCTGCGCTGCCAAACTCCCGGCTCAAGCTCATCTCCGTGTATCCCCTCCTCATCCTTCCAGGGATCAACCGGCAGATCTAATCACAAGCTCAAGTCCTCAGGCTGTCCCCACAGCCTGCCCCTAGCCCCAGCACCTTCATGTCCCCAGATAGGCCTATAAGGCTGGGCAGGGAATGAAAAGTAAGAAGCAAAATAACTGCAGAGTAGACAGCCCCAGAGCCACCCCCGACCCTGGGTGGCACCCACTGGGTGACCTGAGCGCGTGAGAAGCCAGTGTACAGATGCTCATCTGCAGAAAGGCGTGGAGCTGCGCAATGCGGAGACTTCCAGGAGGAAAGCAAGTGTCCAGAGGCCCAGTCTCCAAGCCAGAGAGGGCCCACTCAGGCACATGCATAGACATCCGCCGCCTGCTGCCCTCATGCCTTCTAATTACACTACCTCTAATTACCCCAACCCGGCACTTACTCCAGTCTGGCTGCCCCGGCCCCCACACTCAGCCCAGTCTGAGTCCCAGCTGGACCTGCCTGGTCAGGCAGAAAAGCCCTTATGCACATGTGTGCACACCTGCTGCTCAGGGGCCCCAACCTCCACCCCAGGTCTCCAGCACAGAGCCCTGGAACCATGACCAGAGAGCAAGTTCAGAGAGAAGCCCACCGCTGGGAGGCTGGGAGGCTTGGAGGCTGGGAGGCTGGGAGGCTGGAAGGGGGTCTGTGAAGGCCCCATCCCTACCACTCTGCTTTATCCAGAAGGCCATGAAGTTCCAGCATCCCCTGAGGGCTTCCTGAAGCACAGCTGTCAGAGATGGAGAGACTGAGGCCCAGAGAGGGCAGGGAAGGTCCCCGGAGCCCCCTCTCCAGCTCCATGTGCCTGAGGGAGAACCCCCCAGCCACACTGGGCTGGGGAAGAGGAGACCCAGGGGTTTTAGTGGAGAAGGAAGTTAGCTCAGAAGCCACTCTTCCCCCAAGTCTCCTAGCCTGGGGCCTGTCCCCACTGCCACCAACCCCTTATGGGACCTAAGCCCCCTCACTTCTCAGGGCTCAGTCTCTTTATCTGCAAGATGGGCATGTTTATCTCCCATGGGAAAGCTGTCAGGAGACCTGTGAGGTAATCCACCCTAAAGTGGGTCACGAGGCCCCTCCCCCACCCCTGTGCAGGTTTGTCGTTGGTCCCGGCTGCTTACTTGCCTGCACCCCGCCAGACAGCAGGAGGGCACAGATGTCTGCTTTATTTACCAGAAAGCCCAGTACCCAGCCCGAGGCTAGAAGCAGGAGGCCTCTAACACACAGGCTCAGGTCAGAAGGTTTCCTCCTCCTCGACCCTCCAGAAAAATGCCCCAACGATGAGAACCAGAAATTCCCTGGATAAAAGCCAGCCCGCATCGCCATGACAGGGCCCCGGACTGCAGAGAGGCTGGAGGTAGCAGAGCCCCAGAGAGGAGCAGCCTGGAGGCCTCAGAGAAAGAGGAAGCTGTGGCACCCGCCCAGGCCTGGGGCAGCTTCCCCTTTCCCAGAACTGAAGCCAGTGGGGTCACACCCCTCTGTTCCCCAGCTGGGCCCTCCCCTCTGGTACTCTCCCCAGTCTCCCTGGGCCTCAGCCTGACCCTTTGGCCCCCTCACCCAGCAGCCTAGATGTTCCGTCATGGAGCCTGGCCCTATGCGCCAGCTCCCGCCACCCTCAGAATGGCGTCCTGACGCACCCCTGCCAACCCTTACACATCTGCATGCTCCAGCCACTTCAACCTTCTTCCCAAGACACACAAGACACAGTTACCTGCCATTTCCTCTGCCTAGAAACCCCTCCCATCACTTGGCCAACACCTACTCTTCCTTCAGAGCTTAGCTCAAAGTCATTTCCTCCTGGAAGCCTCCCCCAACCACCACCTCCCCACCGGCATTAACCACCCTGTTTACCCAGCCCGTCCCTGCCACCAGCCGTCTTCCATGCCCAGTGCCACACTGGGTAAGTCTGCACTGCACTCAGGATGGGAGGCAGAAAAGGGTACTCTCAGTAGAAGGCACAAGGCCCCGCTGGGGTAGTGAGGGCCCTGAAGGCTGCAGGGCGGGCAGGACAGATGAGGCTGGACTAAGAGGGGTGGGTATGAACCTGCATCTGAAGCTCCAGGACCACCTGGGGCCACATGGTGGAGTGTGTTGTCCTGCTCTGCTCTTCACTGGCTTTGTGGCTGTGGACGGCTGCAGAGGACTGTCAGGAGAGTGAAATGAGAGGATTCACACTAATTTCTCAGCGTTGGGCTGGCACAGAGTACACCCTCCACAAGCACTCACTACTCACTGTGCCTCAGTTTCCCTCTGTGGAGGGGGAAGGGGCACATGCTTGCCATGCCCGTGTGAGCACACTGAGATTCTCCTTTTACATTTATGTTCACTTCTTTGCACACAGCCAGGTACACAGGAGGTGCCTGAGCAGCTACGTGGAGCCTCTGGGGAGGGGAGGGTGTGGGAAAGGAGAGGAGGCTGGGAAGACAGATGGGCAGTGCCCAGGTCACACCAGCCTCGGCTGCAACTGAGAAGCCTGCACTTTTCCCAGGAGCTATGGGAACCTTGGAGGGTTAAGCAGGGGGGGACAGGCAAGGAACAATTTGGGTCTTGCCAGGTGCACTGGGCTACCTTCCAAGCGAGGGAGATGTGGTACGAACAGGTGCCCACCAGGAGCAGGGTTGGAGGAAGGCAGGCTCTGTTTCCCAGCCCATGCTCTGAGGCCTATGGACCTCCCTCCAGCCTCCAGAGGAGAGGGTTGCCAAGAGTTGCCTAGAAACACAGCTGGACATGGGCCTCCCTCAGTGGTGGCTGTACCAGGCAGGAAGACAAAGGCTACCCATCAATAGAAAAATCCAGGTTAGCAAGGGACCCAGTGGTTCCCTGGCAACTGGGGCTGAAGTAGGGCAGTGCCCACATTGGGCGGTGCTGAGGGCAGCGAGGAACTGCCTGCTGCCCTCCTCCCCTACAGGAGGGGGGGACTGGCCCCAAGCTGGGGCTGGCCCTGGCTCTGGGTCACCTCTACTCTTCACAGCAGAAGTGAGCATTTCTGTTTTACAGCTGGAGGTCAGAGAGGTCACTTGGAGGTCACACAACTAGTGTGTGACTGAAGCAGGGATGGAGCCCTGGACTGCCTCATTTCTGCCTCCCCCATCCTGAGGTTTAGCCCAGAGCCTGGCAGGTGGATGTTCTGAGTCTTTGCCAATCTGATGGCAGAGTCTAGGGAAGCAGGAACACAGTAGGTGGCTCAACTGAAGGTCTAGTACAAAGAGCCAGGCAGGCCCCAGAGTAGTTACTATCCCCATGTGGCAGTCTCAGGGGCCTCTGGGATTTGCCTGTGCTCATATTCATTTGTGTATTGTCCCAATCTGCCAACTCTGAAAGAAAAGGGCACTGGAAACTGTAAGAAGCAGGAAGGC